CATGTGTTGAATCATTTTAAATTGAGTTTTTGGTCGTATGTAAATTACAGTTGCATTACAAAACCTTCAGGACTGGCATTTATGTTTTAAAATCTTATTGAAAAAGGGTTTCTTGGGGGGTCTGCTACTGTATTTCTCATCAGTCGTGTTACTTAGAATTTCACTTTGTTTTTGGTTGAAACCTAAGAGCATTTAGCAAACTGGAAAGAGTGAACACATTTTATTCTGGCATATTTACTTTTGAGAACATTGCAGTAAGCGATAAAGCTCCCTACGTATACCTTGAGAATGACCGAGAGAAAAAAGAAAGGTCAATATTACATGTAAGTCTATGATGTCTCACCGTAGGAAGGCAGCCTCGGGCCAAGTAACTGACCGAAACTGTGTAATCATCACCATGGAAACTAAGTGACCTACTTGATTGGCTAAAGTTCACGGGTATACATGTTGGGTGTTCTTGAAAATAGAAAGAATCGGCTTTAAAGTTTAGGTCTAACCTAAAGTTTTATTTGAATCTTCCTCATTGATTCCTTGGACTGTACATATTATACATGAATTCTTCCTTCAAAGAGGTGAGATAAGTAAACTTGAAACCACTCTTATTTTTGCACTCATTCTACCTAAAATTAGAAATAAGAGATGACATCAGAGTTTAGCAAGTAGATTGGAATATTGACAACACATTGTGCTGTCAAGTTTTGCATTAGTAAATGGCCAAATTACTTCTAAAACCCTCAGTGGAAATATTGATGTTAACTGAAGCTATTCCCAAAGAGGTATTTGAAACCCAACCCTACATTACAATAGCCGTAATGTTCTTTCAAAAGGAAACTTAAGCATCCAAACGGTTTCTTGGATGGCCCCAAGGTAGCAGTGACCCATTTAAGGAGTTCATTCACATTGGCTGTCCAAGCCACAGGGAATAATGCGCCGCTCAAGTTTGATTTAAAAGCAGGGGTTGCATTCAGTGTAGGAGTCGGTTAGCCTAATCAAGGCTGGTCAAGAGGGTTGAATAAAATGGCTTTTTTTCATCAAGTTTTTTTCAGAATTCAGGGATATGCCTTTTTGGCTTGTCAGACATTTGTCAGACTTTTTAAAAAAACAAACCCGGATACTGCCTGGGGTGGTTCTGAAGCATTCAAGGAAGCCAAAACTAATGGCAGGCTTGGTGGATCACCATTCAAGTCGTCTGGGTTGGCAAAAATCGCAGTTTCAAATTTTTCAAATGTTATTTTGGGCTCTACCTAAGTAACAAATGTAACTATGTAAGTAATAAACATGAGTTTATTTACTGTGTACAAATATCAATAGGTCCAATTTTTCCTTGGGTACAAAATGTGATAAGTTCTTAACTTTTTCTTTTTATTCTATGATACTCACTTAAAGACCAACATAACTCCACAATTTGTACTTCCATTTGCTTATCTGAAATCATCTCAATTCCTGTAAAGTAATTTGTTGAATATATTTGTAACTATTCTAAAACCTAACATGAATTGCCCGCATTGTTTTAAAATATGAACTTGCTTTGGAAAGAGCTGACATAATGGATACTTCCTTTGAGGTTTTTTAATTTATCTGATCATCCAGCAGTGCATTTAGCGGCAATTAAAGGATGATAATGAGTGAAGAAAACAATGAAGAAATGTTCAGTTTTAGAGGTGGAAGGAAAACCCCGGATAAATGCTTCGGGAAAACCCACGGACTCAGGTAGGGACTGAAAACCCAATCCACATGTGGGCCAAGCCGGATTCAAACCCAGGCCCCAAGAGGTAGAAGGCAAGGAAAGAAGCAATGCGCCAACCTGGCTTACAACACCTGTATAAAAGCAGGAACTGGATTTAAAAAAAAAAGAAGGTTTTCCGAGGTCCATATGAAGTCCATGTCATTCTCCAAATATCTCAGATTCTCCCAAGAGTAGTTTTATGACGGGGTGCTAGGTAAATGTTATGCTGTGGGCTGGTCTCCCATCCAAGGTTTAAAACTGTGTCTGAAGGAAAGTGTCAATAGATCAGTTGTCCTCCAGACTGGAACACTCTTCTTAGCGCAGTATGCCTTTCAAGGTAGTGTTCTGGAAACACCAAACACCTCATGAAAATAAGCACCTGTACTTTAAGATCACCAGGGCTGCCTACAATATTGTTATTGTTATTATTGTTACTTTTGTTGACCCAAGTACTCTTCTAAGTGCATAAACAACAGGAGTGTGACCTGTGGGTGAGCCAGAATGTACTCTTTCCCAGACCAAGATTACAGGTACATGCTCTTCCATCATACAGTACTTCCATCTGTTTTCCTTCTTCCATGGTCATTCAAGAGGATAGGAAAGCAATTGTTGACCATGTATGCTATGTCATCCAAGAGAAATGCGTATACAACATTGTTCTATACCCTTGAGTATCAGGAGTAGTGCACTTCAAGGAAGCCAGGCTCTTGAACACTCCTACCCTGTATGGCTTGAAAGGCATATCCCTCAATCTTATAGTAACTAATTCTAACATTTCCCGCCCTGTAGTTTTATGGCATGCAGTCTGAGTTCAGGCCTTTTTTTTCCGTTCAGCGGTGTTTATTTTGTGTTGGCACATGTCTTTTCAATAATGTAAACAGTGTCTGGAGATGCCAAGATTCCTTTATTGGGAAATTTGACAAATTCAGGAGAGAGAAAAAGAGCAACAGTGATTTACAGGTCCATCACTGGTGACTTTCTGCTTCTGTAAAGTATGTTTACTCTGTTTGGGAGTTTCTTCCCACAAGAAACACCACATGGAGATTTACGAGGTTCGTAAAACCCTAGGGTTTGTCTGCGAAATATAGAGAATAATTGTGTGAATGACTGCCATGGGAATTTTTGGTTCTATCAGGACACCATGGGGGGGGGAACACTAATTTCACTGTTCCTTGTGTTACAATAGCATTGGTATAGTGCAATTGGAGTGGTTCCATAGAGGGAAGTAAACTGAAGGAGTGATTGGACAAGTTTGGAATGAAGCTTCATGTTCAGAGCAAAGCTTTTTACTTCATTAAGATTTCATTTGTCTTTTCTTTTGAATGATTCTTGGAGTAATTAGTCTCAAGAAATGGTTCCAGCATTAACTATGTATCTGAGGTTGACAGGGTCATTATGAATTACAAATGTATTTGTAAAAAAGGAAAATATTGAAAACTTGTCGTGCATGAATGCAGGGTTTTGTTGTGTAAATTTGTTTTAGTGAACATTTGGCTTTTCAGAACAATAAAAAAAAAATTTGGAATTTTTTCATGCCAACAAACCAAATGGTGAAGGCTATTGTCAAATGTTCTATTTGACAGTGAAGTTCCAGGTTGTCTGTTTGCTAGATTTTTCTTCCTTTATTAAACCAAGGTTGCATTCCAAAGAGAATTCCATGAGTAAGTAAATTTTGTTAACATGGGCCGCTGTAGATAGTTTACCCAGGAAACACCACAGGCAGACCTTCAAGATGGCTTATAAATTTCAATTGTTCTTGAAAGATGTGAGCCATCTGACTATTATCCTTATCCTCATCAAAATAAAAAGCACCCTGAACTCTTTCTCCATGAACTGCCTGTGACGTCATCTGACTACTAGTGATGAAGGATTGACCACAGTTTTAGGTGTGAGTTTCTAAAGGTGCAGTTGCTTGTACAGGGGAGGATCATCTTTGAAAAGGGGAGGGGAGAGGATCATTACTCTCTCCCAAAAAGTGGGTGTGAGTGACGTTTCCCAGTTTCTTCTGTAAGCAGTGTAACATCTTAACAGTTTGTTTTACTTCCCTTTTCATGTTTACTGTTTCCTGCTTGCAGCCATGTGTGAATGGCCTGAGTTCCCCTCTTGTGTGAAAAAAAACCTTCTAATGCCATGCAGTCAGCTTTGGTATATTCCTTCCTTCACGGTTGCTTCAAGTTCAGAGCCAGTGTGTGTCAAAGCCTGGCCCCTCAGCGTTGAGGCTCCACACTGTTAACCTTGTCACCCCTCTTCAGCCAGTCTTCACCCTGAGGGAGGAGACAACACCCAATTAGTATCAATTATCCAGACACCTTCAAACGAAAATAGCCCTCTGGGCATGACCTTAGCCAGCAGTGGAACTCATTGGAGGAACTGTGCATCTAAATCTTGGCCATGGCAATGTCTTTTATGGCTGGGAGAACCTGCAAATGGGGGAGTTAGATTTTCTTCGAATGTTTCAATGACCGTTAATTTTCTCCGCTCTGTACAAAATGCATGTGGACATGTATAGTTGCAGTGTCGAGTGTATGCACAAATTTCATTAGGCTGCTGAGTGCAGAAATTTATCAAGCATGGGAAATGTTTTCTTACCAGCCTCACGTTTGTGTGTTTTTACATGGTCGGAGCTGATTATATTCCGGAGAGAAAAGATCCTACATAGTTCTGGAAATGTGATCTGTGTCTCTTGGTTCTCCTTGTGGTGAACACATACTAATGATGACATGGGGTACAAAAACAGTGAGGTGACACAAAACTCTCCCCAATGCTCCTTAACCTCATATTGACCTAGTAGTTGATGATGTACCAGGGCTCAGGCAGCTTGTCACATTTATTGCTTTGGACTGTGTTATAGTTGGGTGTTACTTCGGGATGTTGATGCAGTATTTTATGCTTAGCAACCTCACCCAACTTCTTGCCCTTGACAGAATATGCAGAGATACCCACTTGGCTATCATAGCTGTGGTTTCATCCCTGCCCATCTGGGCCAACCTCTTAATCGATGTTTTATCCACACAGCCCTCAGCAGTTTTGCTTCCAGGAGTCTGGAATAGGTTCAGGCAATTATCTTCCAATTATAACCACACCAATGTCAAAACAATACCCTGTGGATACAGAAAAACCACTGCATGCAGTGAGCTGATCCTCCTGAAAAATAGACTTGCCCAGTCCTTGGAAGGGGGCGGGCCTTTAACTTCTTCAAAAAAGGAACCTCTGGAAGCTTATTTCTGTTGGGGACAATAATGGCTTTTGTTTTTGTTTTTTTTCACTTTTGCAGGGAGGACATCTGCAGGTCTACATTTGACTGTGACACTCTAGGTAAGCACTGATATATTGGACTTCACCAGTCGTTGATTGACAGGCAATTTACTTTTACGCCTGCATGCACACCCCAATGGAACAATACGTAAGCCAATTAATTTTCCTTGAAGAATTGTCACAGTCCCCATTACCTTGGGATTCTCAGCAGCTTGGAAGGGAAACCGCTTCATTTGTTTTTCTCCTTCCACCCTCACCCCCTCTCCATTCTCTGTCAATGCCTTTACTCCAGCAGGAAAACTCTCCACGAAATGACAGTTGAGTCCTTTGTGTCAGGTTGTCAACCAAAACAGGCTTGGATTTTATTAATTTATTGCAGCCATTCCTCACAAGGTCACATGACTGATTGGATTACATACAAGGATAAGAGGTCTTAAGTAATGTACAAGGCCTAAAGATGCATGCAAACATCAAATCAAAATTGNGGAACGTTTTAAAGATAATGAAAAGAATGTTTTGATGGATGTACATACACGTAAAACAATGTCAAAATTGATTAATTCCCACACTCGAGTACATGTTTATTAAGATCATTTTTTTTTGTACAGACTGATTGTCATTTATAAGCTACACTAAACATTAAAAGCTTGTTGTGAGACGTCCCTAGATTTTTCCCTGTTTCTGAAATCTTCAAGTTGGCCTACCTCTTGCATGTTCTCCTCTGAAATCCCAAATTGCCATTGGTAGTTGTAATGGTCATTAGATACCAGTGACCTTCAAAATGGGTTGGTTCCAAAACATGAACCCTAATTTTCGCTGAAACCGAGGGCCCATTTTTCAACCGAGTTCAAGTCCTGAAACAGGTTGGGATTGTCTTAAGTGTGGCGAATGCTCGTAAAACATGTAAAAATCTGTAATATGTCATCAGACTGGGTCACAGAAACCAGTCCACCTCCATTTAGCTCAAAGTCAGAGTTGGGTCTAGTTGTAGCTTGTTCCTCACCAACAAGAAAGCAAAACCGGCTCTTTGCTCTCCAATTCTGGGTTTCAAAAAGGTCTGAAGAAAAAAGAGTCACCCTGGGAGTAATGTTGGTCAGAGTGTTTGCTTAAGATTTACACCACAACAACTTCAAGCTGTGATCAAACAAGACTCCCTTGCTGTTTGGCCACAATCAAAGCTGCTCCCTGAACTTGTCAAAACTGGCCTTAAAACTGAGCCTGTCTTGTTTCAACTCAGGCCAGATCTGTCTTTCCTCAAACCAGGGACCTCTGTGGAGGTGTGCTCCTTTCTGTGTGTATTGTGACCTGGTTTTTTTTTCAGTAGGCCTGTGTGTTTCAATGGGTAAACTTTGTGGTCTGAGACCAGTGTGATGTAGGGACTTCTTGCTGGTAATCAGAGAGGTTAGAGGCTGGATGCTTCTGTGTGGTAAGGTTTGGCTCGGGTCAACCACCTACAAGTCAACCAGGCAATGCAAACCCTTCACTTTGCCTTGCTTTGGTGGTGGGGATAGGGTGTATGAGATATTAAACAAAAGATTCATTATCTGATATATTCCGGGAAAGAACATTAATGTAAGGACATTATCTGAAGTGGCTCAGATGATTGTAATTCTGGTGGCACTTTAAAATCAAGTGGGTCTTTGCATATCAGAAGACTGAAAGTGTGCTTTTCCCACAGTTGTCTGTGTGTGGCTATCCAAGCAGAGGGAGCATGATTGGAAATGAATCCTGTCTGGCTTTGCTATGGAACTTTCTCAGGCTTTTCTTCATGTCCAGGTGCTTCAAGTTGTGTACAATGGAGGTGACTTCCCTCCACGATAAAACCAAAATATTAAAACATGTAACTGATGGTTAGTAAAAATGGTGTTGACTGTTCATACTTCTTGGTACAGGCTAATGAATTTGCGGGGCTCCCTTCACCGAATCACCCGAAACCAAACCAAAGTGTTTCCAAAATGAATTTACTCCTTGTCTCTGCTGATTGAACTTAATGTGTCTAGCCTCAATTGACCTCATAAAAAAACCCAAACCACCAAATATCCGGCTGTAGTGTTAAAGGATTTTAGGGTCAGACTGTGAATTATTGCTGGTTTCTAATTGCTCTATGATAAAATGTACAATTACCACCTCTTGACATCACAATGGGGGAGGCCTAGGCCGATTTCGGAGTCAACATTATGGACTTGGGGGACAGTCTCTTGCAACGTTTCAACCAAGTCCTTGGCAACTGACAAAATTATGGTCTTGTGCATATTTGCCTTCAATTATTATCATTTAAGACACTGTTTCATCGGGATAGTTAGAGACAAATATTTGTATTTTTTAACCAGTTTAATAGCTTTGAGTGCTTGATTCCGAGAGTTGCAGGTAACATTTCCTTTCTTGTAATCTGTGGCAAACCCAAGGGGTTTACTTAGGGGGAGGGTCGGAGGTACAGTTAGTAGCCACAAATGTGGCAGTTAACACACCCCCCCACCATGACCAAGAAAATGTGGAGTGCTACAGGTCCAGTTAAACAAGAAGACAACTTCTCGATGGTGTGAGGTCAATCTCTAAGAAGCCCCTCTCCCAACGTAATAACGTAGGCATTTCTCAGGTTTTGGAAATTTTGTCTTTAATACCAGAAGCCAAATGAAAGACTGTAACCATTTGCTTGAATCTATAAAGATTTGGTGATTCTGCGGAGGAATATGGACATTTATTATTGAGGCTGGATGTCAAAGTTGACCTCAACGTTTCACAAATGTCCTCAATGTGAAAAGTGGACAGTGTCCACCAGAAATGTTGGTTGATGTCTTGTGGGTATCCATCCTATATCTTGATAGCATTGATATTATCTCTTTACAGGTTTGGCAGAGCTGGGTACAATGTGCGATCCATTCCGTAGCTGTTCCATAGTGCAAGATAATGGACTCAGTGCTTCATTCACCATGGCCCATGAACTGGGGCATGTGTAAGTTGACAAAAGATGTTCACTTCTGTGGTGCCAATATTGAAAGAGCCATGCATTCATGAATGGGGTCAAAGCAGATGCATATCATGACGTCAGATCCATGCTGACTATCTGCTTGAGTGGAGATCCCATTCATGCTCTTCGCTGATTTCCTCCCCCCCCCTCTCCTTCTCGGGCCTGATGTGTGGGTGGGTTTTGAGTGGGAGGTAGAGTTAGAATTGTACATGCTGAACTATAGGCTAATAGGATTCAGAAGCCACACAAAGAATTCAGTCATGGAAGGTACTTTGTCCAAATTACTTGGCTATGGCTGGAAAATAATGCACATGCCAGTGTTAGTCAATAGCCAGTGGCTATCCATGTCCCATATAGGCATGTGTGTTACAGCCAGCTGTAGCTAAAGTGGATGCAGCTGGTGACTATCTGCTATACATATTGATGGCAGGCACCACGGTCCTGTTGTAGTCATGATTGAAATTTGGACCAGAACAGGTTGTTGTTCAGCTGATCTGACTACCTACTCCTGTTATTACAACAAGGCTTTTACAGAGCTTAATGAGCTTTCGTCCTTAACTAAAAAGAAAACATTAGGAATTGTAAAAATTGCATAAATTTGGGCAGTAGGCCCTAAATAAAAAACTTCAAAGAAGATCTTTCCCCACAGGAAAAAACCTGAAAAAAATTTCTAGATAAAAACCTAGAACGTGCACAATACAAATCCTTTCCCTTGCAAACTATGCTAAGTGAGCAAGCTCGACGACAGATCTTTTTTATCCTTCTTTCTGAAGCAGTTATGTAATTCAGGTAATACCCTGACATATTTTGGCCTCATTCCTAAAGGGCATTTCTCTGTAAGCGATGTGTAGTCGGATCAGGTGCGGTGCCGCTCCAGTCTAATGAGAATCTATCACCCCATCACCAAATGCTTGCTACAATTTAGGACAACCTATCTTGGGACTAAAGAGACTTTACAGGACTGTGGATCCCTCCGAGCCCAGCAGAAATTTCCGGATGGTCTCATCTGGGTGCTGTCTTCACATCCTCTTCCTTGTTTCTGACTTTCCAGCTTTAATCTCTCAGCCCCAGCCAGGGTGCTAATCCGGTCACCCTCAGTGGCCTAAACTTGTCATGAATCATAGTTGATGTTAGCTGATCGACTGTGCCATGACTGACCTTTGGCGCCCTTGCTTTGCCCTGCTATTTTGGACATACTGCCACTCTACTCTCTGCACCCTCGCATTGAGGTTGCTGTTTTTGGACTATCAAATGAATCGTTGACAACTGGTAGATATTTTAAGGGTTAAGAAAAATCCGTTAGCAAGATTACAGAAGACCATCCCAATGCATTGGCAGAACTGAACCTAGCCTATTTTTGTATCATCTCTGTCAGATCAAGGACAGATTTGAATATAAGCAGGCTTCCCGAAAAATGCCATGCTGCATTACACTGCATCTCAGTACTTTCCTAGATCGCGTGAAGATTTGATTTGATTTGAAGTAAAAGTTTTAGAAGAATGCCATTTTGATTTGTTTTTCAGTTTCAAAAATCACAGTGCAAAAATTGATTGCTTTTCCAAAACACCATCCCAACAGATTTTGTTGGGGGGGTCTGCTACTTCCTTTTCTTCCCAATTACCAATTCCTTTACAAAGCACTTTCGTGTCAATTTAAATTGAAGAGGCGCTTGGTTTCTGCTATTTTAATTCCTGTTCAGCTGTTAATCTGTTCATCCACCGTTCCACAGGCAAGGTACAGAGACTTTCATATAGATCTTCCGTGACTCATTAGTTGAGTTACATCCCCCTGAGGCATACATCATGCAATCCAGGGTAACATTGGTAGGATATGGGTCGGTGTTTAAGGCACATCACAGGACCTCTTATATCTATTATAAAATTTTAAAAGAAATTGCATCGGGTCATATGTATTGTGAGGGGAATTTTTATAAGTTACTTTGTTTTGTCTTGGAGAGTTTATATAGTGATCTTTATTAAAAAAAAAAGCAAGGATTCTTGATGACAAAAGTGCTCTGCATGGACAGATTTTATCTAGCTGAAGAATAATGTGTTGTAGGCCTATATTACCAGTGGTTGAGATATGTATCTCTGTGTAGATCACAAATGTTTTAGATTTTAGGGGGCAGAAATTCAGTGCATGCAGAAAAATAGTGTTTGTTGATGTGCATTCATCATACAGTTATTCAAGTGTAAAGCCGAAAATTGTCCCTTTTCTCATTTCATTTTGAAGCAACAGTTGGTGTTTCGTGTGGCTATTGGGAGATTTGTTGTGCTCAAGAGAAATTGCTTTTAATGAGTAATGCCCATATGTATTTGAACTTTTTAGATGGAATGAGCACACAGTAAATCTATCAATTGTCCTATCAGATTATTCATTTGAATGTGTAAATCAGTCATATCCCAGCATCCCTCGTCCTGTTCAGGGTGTATTATAGGGATAGCATTGTAATGCAATGCAATGGATAGGGTGAACCCAGCAACTGCAGCTGTGTACTTCAGGAGAGTTTTGACGATTAATGCTACAGCTCAGGTATAGCATTGCTACTCAATCAAACATCACTTGTATCCTCTCCCAATCTTGTTGCTAATCAAGCATGAAGCTGCCTTCTAAGTCGTTAATCCTCACTCTCTGTAGTCACCTGCAGAGTGTAGATTGATGCTCAAGCAGCTGGCAAGTTAGTCCCTTCCAGGGCACTCACTCCCTAACAAAACACAAGACTGAGCTCCAAAAAGCATATTTTAACACAGGAAAGGGCAAAGACTACATATTTGGAGTCTGTTGTAAGCATTGGTCTATGCAGTATTCACATAAGCCTTATTTGTAAATACCCCTTGATCGATTTATAGGTTAATCACAATTTGCATTCCTTTTCCTTCTTTGTGGTTAGTCCTCCCCTGCCAATGAGTGACAGTCAGTCAACAGTGACCTTGTTGCCAAGTACAAAAGTCTTTCAGAATTGCTTAGGTCTGTTGTTGAGATTAGTGGTGTCAATTATCAGGCACCTTAGTCCTGCTGAAAGTTCTTCAGCCTGCTCAAGTCAAATGTTTTGGTTTGGTGAATTGCTTTAATGAGTGATGATTGGCTTAGAATGTGTGTATTGATTTAAGACATGGCGGGCAGGAAGGGACATCCACAGGAAAAAGCCTGTGGTTCAGGAGTTCCACCCAGAGCTAAGTCTAGCGGGAGATGACAACATGGAGGGGGGAGGGGGCAAGTGGGGGATCTGGGGAGGGAATGGCTTTTTCTGTGTCTTCCAACAATTGTTGCCAGGATTGTAGGTGTACATGATGACAACTCTTAAGTTGCTTGTTGGCTTCCAAACATATCATCCATTACATTTCCACTTATGTCAGAAGATGATAGTGTTTTATTTACAAAGTTGGGGATTACACCTGGAGGGCTTTTTTGGAAAGTGAGCAAGTAGGCCTACCTAAGAGACATTATATGTAGTTAGCTTTTGTGTGGAGACATTTTCATGTGCTTCGTGTCCCATTAGGCTCAGTCTGAGTAGATTGTACACTTTTGAAATAAAAAGTGGATGAAATAGGGGAGTTCTTTTAAACTAATCAGTCTTTGAGGACAGTCTGTTGGCCAATATTTGGTTATTCAGCTGAAAAGCTGGGCATCAGTGACATGTTGTTTGATTTGAACATTTCCAGAAAACTCTGTCCAGTGGAACAGGGACACAGATTTTCAAGACATCTTCAAAACTTTGCTAGTCTGACCCTTAGTTTCCCTCCTCTCTGTTTCTTTAATTTCTGCTTGTACCTGTCTGTGCCTCACTGTGTTGAGAAGAAGTAATTGTCTCACCACCTTTGCCTCCAAGGTCCATGATCTTTCACACTCTGTAATTCAATAAATCTTTTGGATTGCTTTAGCATTCTTCAACCTTGTCCAGCCTATTTGTCCAATTACAAGTCTTGATGAGTCTCATTGGATTCTAGAAGCTCAGCTGGGCCTCAAGAAAGTGTTCCACTTCTCTGGAGCAGTTTAGGTCCTCCGTCAGCCTTTGCCAGCCGTACTGTATACCACTTCACCAGGAGTCCCTGAGTGAGCCTTTCACCAGTTTGTCATTGCAGTTGTAGAAGATGTGGAAATCCCAGCATAAAAAAATTGCAAACTCTGATGGAAACTAGTTTACAAGGGGCATCAAAAAGCTAGGATTGACATCAGAAGTGTTGTATGCACATAGGCCGACCTTATCCCTACATTTTGAATCCTCTTGTGGATAACTAAAGGTTCTTCCACATTGCCTTTATTCAAGGGGCAGTGAAAGACTCAAGTTCAGGCTTTTATGGAGTACCGAAGTGAATACATGTACGTCATGCGCACAATTAGTGTGTAAAAGGCATTAGCACGAGAACCAGCGCGTGAACCAACCCGCGCGCGTACTCCGTTCGTTTGCACTGCACTTTCTGGTTCACAGTGACGTCACTCTTCGGTACTCTGTATGGGTTGAAGTAAAGAGCGTGCAACTGATTTTAACTGAGTGCGTTCAAGCCAGAGCCCAATGTCCCAGAAGCTCTTCAGTGGAAAATACTGCTCAGCTTAGTTGTGAGCTCAGCAAAAATCAGTCACAGATGTGACATTTTTGCCGGTTATCTGCTTTTATTGACCTTCTTTTTTTCAAGCTTTATTAATTTGGCCCCTAATGTGAGTGTGAGAGGAATTACATCACAGTTTCAAGAAAAGGTTTGTGTACTTTCCAGAATGCTAAATGTTGCTGGTTTACTTTTTCCATTTTTCTTTCTTCATCTTGCAAAGGATATGATTGAAAACTTTCCTTGTTCATGTGAACAATCCCCTTCAGAATATTTACCTTGGGGCCACCCAGAATCTGTCCCACAAAATGTGAGAAGAGTTGAAGCTGCGATAATTCTCCCCATGGAGTGTACAAGTCTCACTCTTGTTTAATGGGGCAAATTGACCTAAACTTTCCCCGTTACCTCAGTGTCTCTTATTTCTGCTTGAAAAGCCCAGCTTGGTACATACCAACTCAGTGGTTATACATTGAGGACAGTATCATGCACAAGTCCATCAGCAAACAGGTCTCCACAGTTTATTGTTAGATATGGAATGATTTTGACCCGCTGCTGACCCAAACCAATTGGGGCCTTTTTCATTGGGGGCGAAATATAAACAAAAGCGTTGAGTCGTTGATGGAGCTATACCATTTGGAGTCGTCTACCTGATTTGAAGGGAAAAAAATGAAAATATGATATTATTGGGATGTTCTGTGCTGAAGTACATTTTTCCAGTCTGGTCTGCAGGATATGTAGCAGTAACTATCACATGATGGGTAGGATTGTCAGTTGTATTTGTCAGTATGATTCAGGTATATGTGCCCATAGGCAGTTAACATGACTAAATATTTTTGAGCATGTCAAGATTTTTTTTTCAAGATGTTACCGGGAATTCTGAGATATTCCTTGTTCAAAAACTCTCTTGTGTAGGATTTGCAGAGGCAGTGCTGTTCACATTAGTTGGGTGAAGGACAACATGGTAGAAGTTCCCCGACTATAGTTGTCCAGAAGGACATTGTACGCACCACTTTTGAGCTCTTGCTGCTGTTCTCCCTAAAGTGTCCTTTCTCGGTCTGCCCTCCCAAAATGAAGCTCATTCAATGTAACTGGACTGTGTCAGTGATATCGATTTGCCTCTCTCCCTATCTTACAGTTTCAATCTACCTCACGATGATAACAGCAAGTGCCGGGAGTTTGCAGAGAACATGTCTGGCAAGTACGGCGTGATGGCTCCCACGCTGAACTACCAGATCAACCCCTGGATCTGGTCTCGCTGTAGCAAGACGCAGATCACAGAATACCTGGAGTAAGCTCTCTAGATGGTGTCCATGCATTTTCTGGTGAAAAACATATTGAATTGGGCTGTACTCTGAGATTCACAGAGAGATGTAAATGCAGTTTTACTGACGTGTGTTTACACACCAATATGGAGTTTGGCTGAGTGGTCGTTATTCCTTCCCATCAGGCCTGCTGTCCTTCTGTTTTGTCCTTGAGCAGGTCACTTAACCTGCTTGCTTTTGTTCACCTAGGAGTATGAGCACAGTAACATATGCTTGTCTGCACAAAGCACTCAGCTGTAGTACTGGAAATTCACAATTTACTGCTACCAAGAGGTTGCTACAGAAATGCCATTTCTGTTGGAAATGGTCATCAAATTCTATTTGCCAACTGTGTTCCAAATTTTTAATTATTCTGATGGCACTTTTGTCTTGGTAAAATTTTTCTTTAAGTGTTCGAGTATCAGAATTAATTTTTTCTTCTCTCTATTGCATGGAATGCCGCTATTGATCGAAGATTTCTTGCAGTTAACTATCAGCATACACTCAAATGCAAATCAAGGCAAGTGGGCCATATCTATGTCAACCGTAAACTTGAAAAACGGCTTCTCCATGGTAAACTCTTGGTAGTGCACTCTCTCGTGAATCACCCATGTTGTGCATATCTGTAGTGTATTTCTGTGGCTACCTGTAGCAGGGCATCAACAGCATTCTATTTTCAACCCAGCCTCTCTCTCCTCGCCAGTCAGGGGTTAAGAATGCATCATGTAATGTAATGAATAAAAATCTACCTACTTAAGCTCAGGAAATATATGAAAGCACAGGTAAGATGTCATCAATCACAGCCTCACTCAGAAATGGAAAGATTAATGATAGTTGTGAATTTGCCATTGCAGATATAGCACTGTAAACTAGAACTTCATAACCTTTTCTTATTCAACAGAGAATTTCGGAAGCCCGTTTTTGATCCCAATGCCAAAGGAATAAAGAAGAGGTCTTGATTTTTTGTGTTTAATTTTGATAACTGACCCTTACTCACAGTTGACTGATGTTGAGTAACTCTTCAAATCCTAAGACAATGGTAAACTAATTGTTCTTATAAGTCAAGTTGTATTGATTTGCTATTTAATCGTAAAACTCTTGATGTGTACACCGATGTACACTCCGCGTACATCTTTCATTTCAACATAAAGGGGAGAAATTGCTTTCGTCAGGCTAGGAACTTTGTTGGTCTCCAATTTGTAATTTATGTTAAATTTGTATGGTCGTGCAAAATCCAGCCAGTTCATTTTTTGAACATCTCTGGCTTATAAAGGAAAAAAACAGTCATTAAGCCCCTAATTCCAGGGTTCGTTTTTAAGAGACTAAGATAGTTCTAGAACAGAGTTTGGTGCAGTCCTTTTGAACCTGATTGGGGTGGTAAGTATGAGTTTCAAACCACCTGTGGAGCTTTCTGGGTCAGACTTCCCATTGCGTGTCTATACTGAAGGATGATGCATAGGTTGGATCTTATCCATTACGATTGAATGGAAACAAAAAACTGCAACAACTCTTCCTTCTCCATTGAAATTACATGTTTGAGAACTGTTTATGACTATGCTGAAACTCCAACAAAGTGAAGTAGCAGTCTAGAAAAAAGCAGACCTCAAGAAAGCTGACACCATCTTGGTCTGGTGTCCTGAAGGCATACCCTTGGCTTTGTGCTGATTTATCAATTATGATAATTGTTGCCAGGGTACTTGTAGTATCTGTATCTTATCTGTCGGCTTGCCAGCCATGTATGGTATATTAAAGTCTAGATTTCCAAGATTTCAAGACGTTTTAACGCCTCCATTACCGTACGACTGAGCAGGCACATATCTTGAGCAAAATTGACAGGGTGCATAGAAAGTCGACTTTTTTCTCCACTTAAGAATTGCAAACAATCTGGAGAATGTTGAGAAAATTGGACACAAATTTGATTTGGTTTTTTCAAAAAGGTAGCATTCAGCAAAACAGAGAATAAATCTCCCACACTCCCTTCTCCAAGCCACTTCACCATTCTTTTATGGAAATTTAATCACACTATTGAATTAAGAGAGTAATAAATGAGAGAACACAGAACCTTCCATGCAGTGAAACTGGATCAAATGGGTCACCACAAACTGACCAGTCAGCAATCAAAAAGCAAGTTAGACTTGGAAAGAAATTGTATGAAAGTGTAATAAAATTTCCATTGAGTTAACAACACAGACAGAACTAGCCGAAGGGGATACAAGATTATAATGGGGATACAAGATTAAAATGGAGATTGGAACGAGATTGACCCGGTAACACGGGTGACCAGATCGTAAATGGTAACGAGGAGCTCTGACTGTTAACATGTCCAACAGCTGAGGGGGGGAGTGCGGTGGGTTTTTAGAGGGATGATGACCACTTAAATGGCATTGGCCACAAGAACCAGGGGTCATTTACTGACCATCAAAAAGTACATATTTGCTTTTAATAAGCTGAAGCACCGAAGTTTGTAGTTACCTTACAGCTGACCATTTCCATAACCTGTCGTTTCATAACAGTCATAGCAGTAATCTACCTGAAACAAGCTGTTTTCACCCTTTTTAGATAGCACAAAGAACAGTGAACTTTTGAACACATGCGTTGAAGTCTTTCAAAATGTGAATCTTTCCCGAATACTGCAATCTCGGTCAATATGAACTTGACCCTTCCTTTCCCCCTCATAACTTACGTACCAACCCCCCCCCCCTTTTTTACTGTCTCATACTTGTGATTGTTTGGATTAATTACTGGTAATGTGGAAATTAACTAACCAAACAAGTTTTGAGAATAGACCTTGAATATTCTCATCTGTTGACCATTTGTATAGGCCTATACATGTATGTACATGCTGAGAAAGTTAACTCAAATAACAAGTGCTAAAAGTAAACATAAAAAGGATACTTAAGAATCAAGTGCAGTCGAACTTCTGTATTTGAACTATTGGTCATGGAAGCCACATTGGAAATTCTTTGAGCACAGTAGTATCCATTTCTACTCCTACTCAGTCATTACCCTCTAAGGGTATGCATGCCAAGTTCAGGGTGCCTTAAAAATTCCCTGACTGATCAAACTTTGGTGTGACTTGTAATCTGATTTATTTCTCCCTAATTGCCTAACTCTTTCTCTATACCCAACTTAACTCTTGCTCCTCAGTATGGGATACGGTCAGTGCTTACTTGACCCCCCCACAGATGCCCAAAACTTACCCAGTTACCAGCCTGGCGAGGTGTATAATGTCAGCAAGCAGTGTGAGCTGGTATTCGGCGAGGGCTCCTCAGTCTGTCCGATAATGGTAAGTACAACATGGTCGTGGGAAATCTAATGTGGTTGGAGGTGGATTTAAGTGAGGGTGGCTCTCTAAAAACAGTCTTCAGTACTGTTTGGATGGGATGTGTTCTTGGAAGTATTTTTTGTCTTGGAAATAATAGTGATGCATATTTCATCGCTGTTCAGCTGTCTTCACAGGAAGTGTGAATCTTACGGGGAGAACGTGGGCCTACTCATTTGTCTACATGAAAACTTGATGGGGACCAAGAGAGGGGGCAATTTTCTTAGCAACGGAGGCTCCTTTGGTGGGAACTGTACTTCACTGGTTCACAAATGAAAATTAAATGCATATGTTATGGTCCAGTTGTAACATAAGGCCACTAAAAGGGGGAGCACATTACATGTATGTCTCTTTTGTGGGAATCCAAGCATGAGGACTTGGGGCAAAAGACTCCCCTCCCCCGAAAATGTAAGATGTAAGTATTCAGTTTCCCCACCCACCTCTTCTCTTATGTGTACGCCTTGTCCTGATATCAAACTCTGTGCTGGTCAAGTCCTATAAGAAGAGAAATCCCTTCAAATTTCCTCAAAATAAAGAGCAAGTAGGACACTATTGACTAGTTCAGCCGAGGCCAAAACGTCAGGACTCTCTGCAACACAAACATAGGAAAGACTTTTCTCTCCCCGGAAGCTTATTAATCAAAGTACATCTCACCCTCAGCGAGTCCTCTTGTCCATTGACATCGCCACCTCTCCCCTTCCAACACACACATCCTGGGAGACACCCCAGAGTCTGGCAGGAAATCCCCCTGACAAGTCGACCCCCCTTGGCTATCCCTGGGATCATCATTCCTTGGGCCTGGTCATCTGTCAGGATTGGGCCATGATCAACCCCCCCCCAGCAGTACTCTTGTAGCGATGTCAATAGCCCTCATGTTAACTGCAGATTTTATCAACATTGTCAACATGGGAACTTTATACAAGCTTGTAAGCGAAAATTCCACTGAAAACACCAGGATTTACCTAGACTAGAATAAATGTAAAATTTGACTCTTTCTCCGTTATGTCTTTTGTCTGCTGAACCCAATATTTTCTTGAGCTGCATTATTCTCTTCAGGGTTTTTCCCAATCGTATATTCAGTATGTTTATTCAGTATACTTCATTAACAAAACTTCCAGATGAAGCATATTTGAAATGACGTTCCTGTTTTTTTGAGAAGACCTGTCAGTTTTTAGTTTCAAAAAGTCATACCTAAAATGTAACAATATCCTCACAAATAGTTTATTCATGTATCAGTCTTCCAGTGGCAATGTGATTTGTGAGGAAACAGTTCATTACAAGTCCCGACCAAAATCCCAATAAATCAGCATACACACCCATCTGTGGCACCTGTTTGCATAAATGTGGTTTTTTTTTCTGGGTTCTGGGAAAATTTCTAAACCGTCTGGTGCGCCAGGGAAGTGGTAACGAAGAAATTGCCTTGGGGAGCAATTCCAGCATAATTTAATTTTCTGCCTTTTGGCCCAGATCTAGTTGTTAAGTGTTGTGCTACTATATCAGTTAAAATAGCAGGTGAAACTCTGCTCTGTATGTGGTATGCACATTTTTGTATGTTTATTTTGTGTATTTTTATTTTTTTCTGTCTTTTTCCCTTTTGTGTGTGGTTTTGGCTATGGGAGGGTTGAATAAAGGAAGTTAATATTGTAAGGTTGTCAGTTTTGGGTGAATTCTTAATGAACAGAGCTGTGCGAGACCTTTCAGTAAAACATGGCATATCTGTTGCATACCAGACATTTGACACAGGATAGCAACTTGGGCAAAGAGTTCTTGTAATACTGTTTCACATTTTCCCACAGTAAACTCTGGCCAAGGTCTTGACTTCTTTATGTGGAATGGTTTATGTGGAAAGGGTGAAACTTTGTCATATTAAATGGGAAAGTATTTTTTTTCAAATCAGCAGGAATGCACTGAAATACTTGTCAATTACTGGATTTGTTCTTTTGACATTATTTTTAAAATTGCCATTTCAGTTATTAATGCAGGTTATTACTCTTAGAGTAGGAAAAAAAGAAAAAATTTGTATCCTTTACAGGTCTATGTACAATTTTTTACGGCCCCAATTTTCCTTTCATTTACATGCTGTGCTCTCACAATTCACCCTCAGAAGCAGCTGGGAAAGCACTTGTTATTCCCCCCAGAATGGGACTGACCAAATTGGCATTTGATAAATGTTAATGGCCCCTAATCATGAGTAGAAATTGAAAGCTGATTGAATACCAACAGAGTCAGTACTATAAGGCTTACTTTTGACAACAGCTTCAACAAAGTCTGTAGGTTGAGACACATTTTAAGTGTGACTTTGCTGACATAGATATTTTATGAGACAAAGGAAATTTTAAATTGGTCACTCGCTTAGTTCGGGGGGAGGCATTCATAAGCATGTAAAGAGTTCTTAAATGCAGACTCAAACTTCAGAAAGGCCATAGGAAGTTACCTTAAAAATCTACATTTTTTCTCCCCCCCCATGTTTTTACTATGTTTATTACCGAGCAACTTCATAATTTTACATGTAGATGTTTTAGGTAGAGGCACGTTAGCTTCAAAATTTCTGCTAATTGACTTGAATATTTTTCACGCTGAACTCCCATTCATTTTTTTCAGCAGGTGCAGTGGTTTAGGTGACTCCAGTATCATGTTGAGAAATTTTGTCGGTTGGGGCCTTGAAAAAAAACATTGTCCTTGGAAGACTTGAAAAGTACCCTGGAGATATCTTTTAAATTCTCTTTGGCGAAACAAAACTACTATGAAAAGAAGGGGGGAAAATTAAAAGGAAGAAAAAAGCACTGGAATGAAAGAAAAATTAAAAAATAAAAATACTTGGCTGAAAGAGGTTGACTTGTTTTCCTTAACCACTGTTTTAAACAAAATGACCAACCACTATCTTCAGATTGAGTTCAGGACTTTTAGAGTGTTTAGAAGTGACAAGCTTGTGTTCTTACCCTTGTCAATTTGCCCTGATCTTGTGGTAGTCCTGATCCTGTTCACAATTTGAAATCTTTATTCACCCCCAAATCCCAAATTAATTTGCCAACCTTTTGTTCTCTGTGCAGAAAATGTGCAGTCGGTTGTGGTGCACTGGTTCTTCACAAGGCTCCCAGCGTGGGTGTCGAACCCAGCAGATGCCCTGGGCAGACGGCACACCCTGCGGTCACAACAAGGTAGCCTGTTGTTTGATTTCAACTTTGTCATTCTCTGGTGATGGAACATTCGATCTCATCAACATTGAAATCTTTACTTAGTGTTCTCGGATAAAAACTAGTTGAGTGGTAGGTAGGGCTTGCGCTGTAATTTCCTTGAGGACACTACCGATATTCAAACAATCAAGATGCACACTTCAGTTTGTGGTGGAGAGAATATTTTTGTTCACCTCATAAGCTTTGGTTTTCAATATTTCCACTTTCTGTTTCTTCATTATTAGGCTGTCTGGATGTAATTATCCATTTTATCATAGTTTGATCAGGATTTGTAGCTTTTGTCCTACAGTGTTTGGATGCTAGAGAGATTGTGTGAATGTTGGGTTGCTGTAAGCCCTTGTTTCGTGTTTTTCTAAACTGTCAAACATTGTTTCCCAAGACTTCAATCAGTGAAGTTAAACAAAGAAATATTTGTCTCCAGAAATTTTGTGAAATGTCTTGGTAATATCCTGATATTGTAATTTCCTAAAAAATAGTGTCAATGTCTCAGCTCATTTTAAAAATGATCTCTTCAGGGTATCAATCGTTATAAAATGCATCTACTCAAAGCTACTTAAATTGCAAATGTAGAAAAACAAAGTAAACATTTCCCAAATGAATTTGCAAATGGGAACCCGGGTTGAATTGACTGCAAGCACCAAATAAAGTCCCCTGACAAAATACCACAGCGCCTTGGCCTCGTTAGCATGCACCCCCATGCTCCACCCCCCCAATCGGAAAGAATGTCAGGATTTCATCAAGTGTACAATGTACTTGGCCCCATTCTTCCTATACAAATGACTCCTCCGAGACTATGTTGTGTGACACACCGATCGGATTTCATGGCAATTGCCTGGGGCCAATTTCATAGTGCTGCTTAAGCAAAAAATTTGTTTAAGTGTGAAAAACCTCACTTGACAAATCAGGTTACGAGCCAAAACTTCTTGTGATATGTATTGTTTTGGAATGGTATTTACCCGTCTTTTGGTTAGCATGACAATCACATAGTGTTTGAGCTGGTAATCTTTGTTTATTAAGCAAAGTTTTTCCGTGTTTAAGCATATTCTGTGCTTAAGCAGCTCTATGAAATTGGCCCCAGCTGGACCTCAAAGACATCCATGAATGTTTGAACCCATTTGCCGGGAAATTCTACACCACAGGATGGATTAGTGGTCCTGGCTCCCCTGGAGTATGTGGTGTGGTGGACCAGGATTAAAGTAACCACCTCATCCTGACTTCTCCTTATGGAGAAAGACAAACATCAAATGTCTCTTGGGTGAATTATGATATGAGGAAGCCAAACTGAAGTGGATGTAGCCATATCTTGGCTCATCTTTTAATCTGTGGGTAAAAATGGGAACACTGCACATTTCCTGTTGTACATTTCTAGGTCCAATCACCTCCCGTGACTGGTCCACTCAGACTGTGCAGTATATTCAATATTATAGTCTAAATTCTGTTTCAAGATTCACTGGAAAAGCTGAACTAGTTGTCAGCACATTTTGAATTAATTTAGAAGTGAATTTTCTTTTCTGGCTGTTGTAACAGTTTCACTGTTTGAGATTTGAAAAGTACAAGCATGCTGCTATTAATTCTGACATTAATTAGGAGCTAGCCTTTTATCAGCAGTTTACATGATGTGAAACATATAAAACATGATATTTAGGCCTCTTCACTATTTTTTGAGAGGGTACAGTGTAGCTGCTGTCAGCTTTCAGATTCCGCTTTGCTTCTTACCCAGAGCTCAGTAACCTTTCCACATCTCTCTTCTTGTTCCTTGGGCAGTGGTGCGATCGAGGTGAATGCATCGCCCGTCAAAACACCCTGGTCCCTGTGGATGGGGGATGGGGCAAGTGGGAGCCCTACGGGGACTGTTCCCGGACCTGTGGGGGAGGGGTCAAGCAGGCGGTCCGGCAGTGCACCCAGCCGGTGCCGGAGAATGGCGGCAAGTACTGCATTGGCCGGAGGGTGCGGTTCCGCTCGTGTAATGCCAGGGTAAGGAGTGGCAGTATTGCCCAAGAACCCCCTGTGATAAATTAGCCTGTCTGACTGACTGACTGTTCTGAATATACCATCATGATGAATTTTATTGATAGCAAGGGCTTTCTCAATCTGTTACACTTACATTTTGTTGGCATTGCACGCTTGGCACCTCCAGAGCCTATTTTATATTTAAGCTGAAACTCTTCCTGCAAATGTCATTTGAAAAAAAAAGCCAAGAAGAAAAGCACCTGACTAAACAACCATGCAAAATTAAGAATTAGAAGACTCATTTGCAGAAAGATATAATGAATAACATTAGATGTAGCACTGCAACTCTTAAAAATGTTAGCTCTATTTGGTGAAAAAAAAAGGAACAGTTGAGAAACTTTGATTCACATCACAAAGAACAATAACTGATGTAACTTCAAGATGCCAGCATGTCAAAACTGTATGACTGGAGCACAGCCATTAACAGTTTCTCAAGTTGGCGACTTGTTCACTAATTTCTGCAGAAGAGACATAACCAGTCCAGCCCCTCTGCCCTTACCACTAAACATTTGGCCTGGAAACCCCTCATTAAAAACCGCTATTCCCTCGCCGGGCGGCACACCTCATCCCATCGGTCTGACTGTCCACAAACAACCCGATAGCTTGATGGAAACATTGTGTGGCACCCTTTGGCCTATTTTTGGAGCTCTTATGTGAGGGCTGAAAATTGATAAGGCAAATATGTATCTGAAACAGATGGTAAGAGGATCGGTTGTTTGAGAGATGGGAGCAGTTGTGCCTTTGTGAATGTCCGGCTGCTGCGTATTTTGACACAAAGCGAAGTTGTCAATGCATGACCTACATGAAGAATCGCATGATGACTGAGATGCTATGTCACGTAATAGACAGCTTTGAATCTTTTTGTCAGGAAGATTATTTTGGTTAGCATGTTAAAGTTGATTTGAATCTTCGGTGCAAAAGTCTTGAGAAGCACCTCATGTTTATAGCAACTTAGTAGCAGCCCACTCACGTGAAATGTAAATTCCCAAATATCTTGGTGGTGAATTCCCAACTATCTTGGTGGCAAGCAATTGAATGGAACTGTGGAATTGTATCGGGGATATTTTCTGGTGTCGTGTCATTTTAATGTGCTGTAAATTCATATAAAACTGCAATTCATATAAAACTGCAATTCATATAAAACTTGTCCTGAGAAGTTCATCAGAGACAGCTCCATCACAATACATTTATTCCTGTTTCGTTATTGTACACTGGATAGACAAATCTGGTCAGTTACAGTGGCCTCCACCAGTGGCAGGACGCTGTCATATGAAGACCCACTTGTCTGTAATGGTCACTTGGTACAAAACCCAACACAGTGTTTTCCAGGATTGATGGGGGCCGTTGGGAATGTCCAGTGAGTTGTTGCCAGTTTTGTCTAGATCCTGACCTTGTCTCTGTTCTTCACTAATAGCCTTGTCCAGAGAACTCCACATCTTTCAGGGAGCAGCAGTGTGCCGCCTTCAATGGCAACAACTTCAACATTCAGGGTGTGCCACGGGATGTGCGATGGGTTGCCAAGTACACAGGTGGTGAGTGGTGTTGACTCCCTGATACCTTGGACTATTGCCAGTGCCATGCTGATACTGTCACTGTGAAGCCTGAATGCGTGAAAACCTTTTGATGCAACAAAAAATGTGAAAACTTAACAATGGGGTTGACTTGTCATGTATTAGAAAACATGAAAAGTCCACTTTCCATGTACGTCAAAGTACCATGTATTTTTGTGTCAACCACATTGCTAGGGTTTATCTTTCACGTAGAAAATACCTGCAAACCTTGCTGCACGTGCGGCCCATTGTTATTGGATTAGCCGGGGTCGTAAGAACAGTCCCTTGTTTGTCGTCTGCTTAGCCATGTTGTTGAACCATGTACACCGACGTTTTGCAATCACCAAACCACCAGGTAAGTCTTATAAGGGTTTAAGCTGTAGACCAATCAGTGGATGTCTTGTATAAAAAATATGTGACATGTTGAGCTTCTCTTTCATTTCTTTCTTTGACAAACGAGATGCTTAATTGAAATTGCTTGATGGCAACCCGTGACACTGACATGACTGTTGTTGTCCTTTTTCTGCATGGCAATATTTAGAATCCACTTTCAGCTCAACTGATACACAAAGTAATTTGAAATGGGTTTAATAGTTTACCTTTATCTGAAGAATGTACTGCAAAAGTATTTTCCAAACTTCAGCTTTCAATCTGGAACATCCTGGATCATTGCCAACGCTAATGCCACTTTCCCAGTATTTGTCCTGAATGTGGTTTAACCAGTCAGTTTTTGATCGGATCAAAATGTCGTGCTTAAAAATTTCATTAAGCGTTAAATCCGTTTTTCAGCCAGAACTACGACAACCACATTTTCTGACAAAGCATCAAAAAAATTCATAATTAAAAATAACTGAATTATAGCGACTAAATGCAAATTAATAAACAGAGTTTGCGTATGTTGCATAAGGCTTTTCAGTGGTCCCTATGGCCTAAAGTGTGCAGACATGTCACACAGTAGCACCGAACACATGTGGCCCTGATGTCACATTCCACTCTATTGCACACGTGTAGTTTGGAACACTCTCATTCCTGAAGAATATTGAACAAAGTGCAGTTATAAAGAGCACATTCTATAAATCCCAATTTCATGAATTCTGATGTTTTTCTTTTTTCTATTTTTTACAAAGTCCTGTTTATAACTAGCATTTTCGTCCCTTCATCCTGGCTAAAACAAAAGTTAACTATTTGCAACTGCGATCCGAGAAAAAAAAAGCAGACGAAAAAGAAAAGGAACAAAGAAAAAAAAGAAAGAAAGAAAAATCTTTTCAAAGTCCCCTTTAATAATTCTCTAGACATTCAATTAGGAATTAATATGAGTGCAGAGTATTGTGATCATTTTGCAAGGGGCTAGCCCTGGCATTGTTATGTTAAACATGGTACCCTGCAGCAAGATTGCTAAACATATGTTTTATGTTAAAAGATATCCACTGATTAGTTTACAGCTAAAGCCCTTTTAAGACTTACCTTGTGGTTTGGCGATCGCAATACATCAGTGTACACGGTTCAACATGGTTCGACAACACGGCTAAGCAGATGACCAAAAAAAGGACTTTTAACAGGACCCCGGCTAATCCGCTAACAATGGGCCACGTGCACAGCAAGGTTTTCACATATTTTCTACATGAAAGAAAAAACCATAGCAACAAGGCCGGCTCAAAAATTATGTGATACTTTGACGTCCTTGAAAAGTGGGCTTTTCACATTTTCTAATACGTGAAAGATAAGCCTATTGTTAAGTTTTCAAGTTTTTGGGTTCCATCAAAAGGTTTTCACGTATTCGGGCCTCGCAGTGTGCGCATTCAGTGACAGTTATCTGTCTTGGAATGACATCTCTCTTGTGCATAGTTGGGAGTTGGAATGCTATTTTGTACCCAGTCGATTGTGTAGATTTCTACGTTCATCTGAAACCCTAAGAGGGACAACATAAACTTGGGCTTTGTTGGCTTCCTCCCCTCCCCACTCCTCCCCTACCCCTCCCCTTCCCCTCCTCTACCCCCGCCCCTACCGTCTCCCCTACCTGCATGGTTATTTGTTAGTGCTTCAGTGCTTCAGAACCACACTTCTCCACTTCCCCATTTCACTGCTATTCTACAAAATCAAACTGCTATATTCCACATTCCAATTTATCACCCTGTTAACCTAAAGGCTTACCCTATCTCTCTCCAAAACCTGGATATTATTAATAATATAATTAATATTAATTTTTTTGGATTGATTAATTAATCGCAGATTGTAGACTAGCTGCAAGTAAATTAAGTAAAATGAAGACATCAAAGACGGATAACGACAGGAATTTAAAAATGACCAGGAAAAACAAGGGAGCTGTAATGGTGCGGGGCACGAGAGGACTGCATTTATCAAATTGTAGGAGAAGGCGACGTTGATGTAATATGTATGTCACAGAGTCTGATCCACTACACCCGCATTGTGGGATCAGCATCTAAGAGCGAGCTCAGTTGGTGGTGGTGTCCACTTCCTTGCCCAGGCAAACCTTTTAGGGGCGCAGCAGCACTGGAGCCAACATGTCAGGGAATGATGATTTGTCGGTCGGCACTTGGCAGCCAAATGTGACAGGAATGTTTTGTCATCTTCCCCGTAGGTCCTGCAGACCGAGACCCAACAACTGTTCGCATGGGTTGGGGGGATGGGTATAGATCTTACTCGGTGTCTCACAGAATGATTAGATATCCAGACCCAGGGGTGGGATTGTCATCATCAGTTGCCACTCGGCACACATTGCAGACTTTCTGACCCACATTTATGAAACCGCACATGGCAGACTTTTTGGCCTGATTTCATGCAGTGTCATTTCAGTAATGATTCAGCAGTCTTGTGTTTTATCTGCACTGTGGTGAGAATGATTTCTTTTATCTGTTTCAGGTCTAGAATCAAAGACTTGTTTCAAGAGCCCAACTTTTATGATCCATTAGGACAAATCAAGAAATAATCAAATGTCAGTGTGTCCATGGAAGATTTGAGGGATGACAGTGTTGAACTCTAGATAGGTTTGAATGTCAGATCAGTCCAGAAAGACATCACGCCTTTGCTACAGAAAGGGAGGTCAACAAAAGTGTAGCAGCAGTCGCCAGACAGTGATTTGCCCATTAAAAATCAATCTGAGATGGCACTCCTAATTAATTAAGAACCACACTCTGTGCAAGATAAATGCAGAGTTAAAAGCAAAGTGCAGTCTTTATCCCCACAACAGTCATAGTACCTGGGCCTGTGCATTTTAAAGGTTGATTGATTTTTTTTTAGTGTTTGTTGATATTGTTAAGTAACCCCAAGGTCAGGATAAACGGACATGATGTAGGTGGGACTACAGTTTCTTAACTCCAGCCTTTTGCCTCGTTTTAAGTATATCCATTTTTTCATCAGCAACACACTCTTTTAACTGTCCTTCCCTGCAGTCCAGATAAAGGATCGATGCAGTCTCTTCTGCCGTGTGGAGGGGAGCATTGCCTTCTACAAGCTGGGCAAGAAAGTGGTTGATGGGACCCCCTGCGGCCCTGACACCGATGACATATGTGTGCAAGGTCAATGCTGGGTGGGTATCTCTGGCAGCATCATCATTGGTAGGCCTGTCGCTATTGAAGAGTGGGGGGGCAGACAGCCGGGGCCACTCCAGCGAGCAGCTGCCGCACCTTCCATCATCAAAACTCATAAGCATCAAACAATCTGTTGTTCTTGTGATGTGCCCCCCCTACTGCTGGTACTTTGGCCCCACACTGCCCGAAGCTGGCCACTGGGCTGATCATCAGGAGATATGAGACTTTCCAAAGTTGGATGATTGCTGTCTGTCTCATTATTTTTTATATTGGTCATGAAATGATGACAGTGAATCATACAAGTTTAATAGAATTAAGGGTCCATCCAGACATTTGATTGCTCTATTGAAAAAGGAATGATGATACGGTTGTTGTCTGGCCCAGTAAGTGTTCCTTGAACCACAGACCATCGTAAGTAGAATGTAGCTTCAAACTTTCAATTCAGCTAACAAATCCTTGACTGGCACACCCTTTGTTCGATAAGAGGTACCCATAAACCCCTGGGTGGAGAGAGGCAATTTATAATTACAAAGTGTCCTCCCTGAAGACACACTTGCTGCAACATCATAGGCAGGACTTGCATCCCAGTACCCTCAAAATTACCAACTGAAACAAAAATGGCTTTGCAAAAGGTGTTCACCGAACGACTGACTGTTAAAGGACCAGCATCTGATTCTGTTTTCTGTCCTTGTTTGATGCAGAAAGCTGGCTGTGACCACATCTTGGGTTCCCAGACAACAAGAGACAACTGTGGAGTCTGTGGAGGTGACAACCGGGCATGTAGGACTGTCACAGGCACCTACAACAAGGCCCAGTATGGTGAGACTGGCTGCTTTAAAATTCCCCCATTGTGAAATGTCCAATGAAGATGGTGTCAATCATCTTTGATTTGCTGCCACAAACAGCAAACAGTCACAGGATATGCCTTAACAATGTCCAAATGACTTGGAACTAATTTACTCAATCAAACACGTCAATCTCATCACTTGACAGCATTGAATGTCAGTGCCTGATCACAGAGATTATTTGACATTGCTGGGTGATTTAATATTTTCCAGAACCTGTTTTTAACCGCCTGTAATTTTGAACTGGAAAAGCTCTCGCTGTTCTAAGCTGCAGCTGCCCTCTGAAGTTATCCAACAGAGTTTTTTTCCCTTTCAAGTCCACCACACTCCATTTCCCAATTTCCTACCACCACTTTTTCTACAAAAACACAAGGAAACCAGCTATGATTGCAGCTTCCCCCACCAAAAGAAAAAAAACAAAAACTAAATCTCCTGTACTGCCCGCCAATTCGTCAGGATAAGCCCTGACTTCTGGCAACAGGTGGAATGTTGAAACCCAACAGCAGGCCTCTGCATCTCGGACCAGCTTAAGATCTATATCATCTTTTGTCCTCGGTTTATAATCATTACCTTACGCAGCCTTCTTCCCCCCCCCCCATGACCTGGGGGTCAGACTGGAGTTCATGGCATGGGAAAGCTGCAATTGTTTGCAGATCAGTGTCTGTTGATTACATTTACTCTGCTAGAGTTTCAGAAGCACTTTTTTCTCATTAATGTTTGCCCTTCTTCTGATGTATTTGTTTGCTAATGGAGGGGATCTGTCTTGGTAGCCAGGCCGAATTGTGGTGCGACATCATGACTTGCTCGTTATTCTCAGGAATATGCTTTTGTAACATAGTTTCCTGCCTTGAAAAACATTTCTTATCTTCACTTAAGTAGAACTAATAAATACCACTGTTTTAATGATCACCTTGAAAATTAATTAACATGTATGGAAAGGCAATAAACTGGCTTTTTGTTTTAAAAATTAAAATTTCAAAGCTGATGTATCAGTGGCTATGTTTTATACTAAGTTAATTTTTTATCAACTTCCAGCTGTACATTCAGTGACAACATTAGCAGAAAATAGACCCACTTCCTTTTTCTTCCTTTAAAAATGGTTCAGGTTACAACAAAGTAGTTGAGATTCCTGCAGGCTCCACAAAGTTGGACATCCGCCAACACAGCTACCTCGGTACTGATCCGGAAGACGACAACTACCTCGGTGAGTGGAAAGATGGATTGATTTGTTATATTTCATAGGTGGTAGGCTCCTACTCCAAGCAGTCTGGTACATGTATTTCCTAGTTAATGTGCATTGTAGATTGGATGCTTGCTTGGTTACACGAGGCTCACCTCATAACCAAACCCTGTTGATCAGGACTCAATTTTAAGGAAGTGCAGAGTACCAACCATACGTATATTGGAAGTGTCTCAGTTACAGTCGAGTACTCTCCAAGTGCTTCGCCAGTATCAAATATTGAGCTGTTTATTTAGAGCAAAGTGAGAGAAATAATGACAGCAGACAGCAAATAAAGTCAGTGTCAGAGAGAAAAAACCTAACTGTAGGACATTGGTCACTAAAAATACTTTTCAGTTCAACCTTGGGACAAAAGTACATTCCTGAACATCATTGGACAAGGATCTTCTGAAAATATTGGTCCATTGAATTAGTTCAGTCCTCTGATTGTCCACAGCCTTTGATGTGCTACTATCTGGTACCTGTATTACAAGATTCATCCACATCAAACCATCACAAAATCTGGCCGTTAATTTGTCACTTGGACAGCACCCAATTTCAGCTCTGAGTAGAATTTAACTGAGGGTCAGTCGTACACGATATACTTCAGATAACAATTGGGCAGGTATTATTTCTGTTCAGTTGCGGGTGTGTTCAGTGGCATTGGTCCGGTTTTTTTTCTTTGGACAAGTCTGAAATATTTTCCTGGGAGATGAAATAATATTGTTCAATTTGTATCGTGTTGCAGCAATTAGAAACAGCAATGGCGATTATCTCCTCAACGGTCACTTTGTGGTCAGTTTGTTCACACGTGAGATCAAGATCGGTAACGTTGTGCTGCAATACAGTGGCTCCAACAACTCCATCGAGAAGATCACATGCTATGAGAGGATCACCTCTAACATCACCATATATGTGAGTAAAGCTTGCATTGGTTGCTTCGTGTTGCTGTGGCATAGGGAAGAGGGATATCAACAAGTGCTTTTTCCATATTTCTTGGCTTGCAGTTGGAAATAACTCTTGTAAAGCTCGTTATAATGCAGCGGTTTGTTGCTTCCTATGTCAACAGGTTCTGTCCGTCGGTAAAGTCTTGCCACCAGACATCAGGTACTCCTACAATGTTCCTATCAAAGGCGAGGTCATCTACTTGTGGGATGTGTATGGACCGTGGGGAGCCTGCAGTAAGATTTGTAAAGGTGAGAAGTGTTGGCTGGTTTGTAGCCTGCTAATTGATAAATCTCAGATGGGGTTGACCTCTGTACTGACGATTTCACACTTTGTCTAAATACATGTACATGTATGCTTTGAATCTGTTGTTGCAACCTGGCACTCATAGGAAATTTGCACATACAGACAAAGTGTGACATTATCAGTTTATAGGCATATTCAAGCTTTTGGGGGGGAGCATTTGGCTGGTATGGGGCCGCAAACACATCAGTCCTTGTGCCAATTTGCAGGATAGGAAACTCACAGCATAGAAGTATTGAATGAAAGGACTGCTGATTCATGGTGTGGTCTCGCTTTTGCCATGGTTTTGATTTGTTCACCCTTCTACTTCACTTTCATCAGCACCAAACCCCCCCCCCTGAAAAAAAAGTTAGAGTCAGCTTGCCGCCTGATTGAATTAAAGGTTTGAGCCAGTTTTTCCCATCTGCATGACCGTTTGCCTTTTTTCACACTTTACTTAATTACAATCCGGATGTTTTGGTCAGGCTACAGCGCCTTGTGGTCATAGGCAGACTGGTACAAACATCTGACCCTGGTTTTCTATTTATTCATCGTCTTTCTTTATCAACTTTCACCATCACTGAAACCTAAAAAAAAAAAAAAACACAGCTAGCTTGTCAATCGATTGACTTAAAAGCCTGCACACTTGGCATTCAACAGTGATTGGGGTTAATTCTAGTCGACATCAACAGATTAGCACAAGATTAAGTAATTCGCAACGTTTCCTGTTGATCCGAAGATTCGCACCAAAGTTGTATGTACCATTTAAGCAGTACAATATGAAACAAAAATCTCAAGTGGTTTTTTTTTTACATTTTAGTGTTTCTTAGTGTTTTTTAGTGTTTTTTCTAAACTTTTCTCATCATCTGTTTGCTGGGTTCGACGTTAGTTTATATGTAGAAATATTTTTGTTTTAGTTGTGGTTACAATTGCACAATTGTGGTTCATGCATGCAACGTCTCAGATCAGCTGATTTCCTCATTTTTCACTTCACACTCATGCCATTGGAAATGGAAAACACTGTACAAAGTCTTGTAAAGAGTGGGATTTCCTGGTTTTGTTTGGTCAAAATCCAAGTTGCATGCCTGGTGGTTGAAATGTGTAGATAAAAAAGCTCAACTTATTGCAAGTTACTCCACACACGGCTTGTCTCTGTATGAGTAATGGACGAATCTGCTTTACAGACTATGTTAAACTTCACCTGCATGGTCTGTTGTGAAATCAATGACAGGAATATTTAGTTGGACACCCCATAGGCTTTTTGTAGTGAATTTAGATAACCCATTACTTTCCTCCTCGGAAATGGAGATCCAAAATGTTTGCTTGAAACCGAAATTAGACCCAGATTGGTGGCACCGTCGTTAATTTGTTTGCTGCTGTTTCATATGTTTACTTGTGCTTGCTATCAGTATCACTTGCCACTGATTAGTGTTTAAAACTCTGTAGAGTAAACCACATCCTAGTTGGTTCATCTGTTACATTCCATCAGAGGTTGAGTGGAATCTGGGAAGGGAAGGATATGAGGCCACTTTCACTACAGACAGTGACCCTTCATCTTGTGGAGTATTTTTCCCTGCTTCTAAAGTCTCTTTTTTTTGTGAGGACTGACCAGGAGAGTGTGGAGTTTGTCTTTTACCCCTGTTGCTGCAAGTTGTATTAGCACAGAATTTATTGTCAGTAAACTTTGGAAAGGTTTCTCCGTTCTTTTTGAATGGTTTCTCTCTGTTTTAGCTTGCTTTGCTTTTTTTGTGATGAGGCTTAGTTTGAGTTGCTAGGCTACTTAACATAATTGAATGCACTTTATTTATTGTTTTATCTGCCCCATGTCAATCCACTAATGCTGACAGTTTTCTATCCTCTCTTTCAATTTGTACTTATACATAAACCCATGGCCTCCATATCATCTGTGAAAGGTGCTTCACATTGACTGATTTTAGTCAAAAAGTAATGGAGTGATTTTTAGTCCTGCCAGCACCCCAGGCCCAGATGTTTAGACCCATTTAAAAAATGTTGGATCACATTTTGACACCATGTATGTCAGAAATGGCTGAGCCTGCTTACACCCCTTAATTATTTATTGTGGGCACTTTGTTTTGTCATCAGTTTTTCAGTCGTGATTGTATAAAATGCCTTAAAACTGTAAAATTGTCATGAACAAAGTGTTTGCTTTCTTGTCATTTTCATTAGCTCTGTCCCACCTTGATTTGTCAATTTAAGTGTGCTGTTTTCCATATGGGTAATTCCAGAAATTAGGGGTCCATTTTTTGTGTGTCCCAGTCACATCTGACATATGCTTTTGTAAGTTCAGAACACATTTTCTAATTTCCAAGAGTGATGAAATTAATGCAAATAACCTGCCAAACAAATAGTAACAGCTTGAAATCAATTCCGGTGATACTTCCATCTCAAATAACGAAGGTCAGATGTAGCAGGGAAACAAAAGTTTCACACTTTTGGACCCTTAATTTCTGGAATTACCCATATCCATGTACCTGAAATTCAAACATACTAATTGGACAGCATTTTATTCTTTGATCTCTTTGCAATCTGGAAGGACTGCCTTGCACTAATCCCTATGCTGTGAGTAAAGGCCAGCACTTTGGTTTTTGAATTGTTCAGGCTTGAACTGGGCAAAAAAGAGGTGGGGTGTAGGGACAACTTGGCTGAAAACTAATGTAATTTCTTGATGATGTGTCTTTAAAATAGCCTGATAATATTCTCTTTTGTCGTTTTAGTGGCTTTTCCTGAACTGGAAAAATAGAGGTGTTAATTGTTGGGTGTACCAAGAAAAAAATATCTTGTTATTGATTTAACCAGTCCCTTTCTGACCGGTGACTGACCGGTGTCGAACCAAAAACTAAAAGGCTCTGTTACTTTTGGCCAACATTCTTCCAGTTTTGCACGCTCATTGTTTGTTATTTGTGCAATCCCCAGGAGAGAGGGAGAGAGACCTCCGGTGTTTGAGACAGAAAGATCGCCTCCACGTAAAAGACAGCTCTTGTCGTGGCAGGCGCCCTCAGCCTATCACGTCAAAATGCAATACGGGATGTGAAGTGCGGTAAGTTCTTGAACTGCGCTTGTCTTAAATGTAGTTGCACTTGGAACACCTACATTACATGAAAACCAGTCAGACATTAGTAGAGATGAACTTTCACAGCGCTCCATCCATTTCTTCTTGACCAAGAGCTTGAAGTGGGTGCGCCAGATGAAGACTTTCTGGTTTTATTGCACAAGATGTCAGCCCATCATAATTGAGAGCTAATATCTTTAGCTCAGAAAGCAATGTAAAAAGGGTAATGGTGAGAGCTCTTGTGAATCCCATGACAGTGAACATAAACCAAGCTGTGTCACACTGCTTCAGATACTGCATCTACCAAGTCCTAGGTTGTGTAGAGTTGTACGTGGAATCTTGACGATTTTGATTCACTTTAATAGGTTAAATTCATAACAATGAAAGGTTAAGGATGTCAAGGAAGTTTGTACACGTGCCTTGTAAGGGATTTTGGATTCACATACATTTGAAGTCACAGGTTGCTGTTTCCATTGAGTGTAAGAGTTGTTTTTGGCTGGTTGTGTATTGCCACAGGTGGCAGATAATGGCTGAAAGTGATTGCTCAGCGACTTGCGGGCCCGGGCGCCGTACCCGACGCGTCCAGTGCATTAAGTCGGTCAACCGCCGACGGACCAGCGTGGTGGTTGCAGATGCACATTGCCATGAGCAAGCCAGGCCAGCTGAGGTGGTGGAGTGCAATAACGAGTGCGAACAGGCTCACTGGGAGTATTCATCTTGGTCTCAGGTACAGTAAACAGGCTTGTGTGTTTCGGGTTGTTGTGGCTGAGGCTTAGGCTAGGGATCGCCCGGTGTCACCTAGGGAGTTGGCAAGTTGGCAAGAGCATTGATGCATACAGTCTTTTATAAATAAAAACGGGTTATGTATCAAAATTTCACGAGGCATTTCGCTTCTCTTGTGCTCTCACTTTGTCCAGCTGATTTGTGGAATGCAGCATAGGAGCAAGTACTTGAATCAAATTGCCAGTGTTCATGGTATAAATTGCAAGAATATCTCTTGCCATTCTTTCTTGTTGCTTCTGTCACTAAGCTTGCATCGTACCTGCCATCCTAGCAAGGATCACTGGATCAGAAGTATCTTATACCTCTTAGAATTTGTCCTTGGCCTTGGGTTTTAAGTAACTCATTGAATCTAGGTTTTTCACATTTCCACGTGCAGTGTTCCAGGTCTTGTGATGGTGGTACTCGCCGACGGAGTGCTTCATGTAGAGATTCCAGTGGCTATTACACTCAGGATAGTAACTGTGACAGCTCCCCCAAAGTGATAGCAGAGAGATGTAACACACAGCAATGCCCCATCTGGGCTGTCGAATCATGGAGTGAGGTAAGTTGACAAAGATCAGGCATGTGTGACCTGATGGAAATTTGATGGTACCATTTTAAATGTACCCTGTCCGCATTCATTTGACAGACTGCAGAGGAGTAATTGAGTTTAAGCTCATTACTTGTGACCAACTGATCGGCATGAAATAAACTTACTCCATTGCTTTGATTTATGCACTTTCCAGAATTAATCTGCCAGATATGAAGGACATGAGTCTTGCACAGCAAAGACAGATTACCAACCAAAATCTTTTGGGATTATGGTCAGCCAATTTTTTGGCTCTGCCCTGTAAATTTTTTATTGTTAATCCCTGCTGTTGGAACTTTCAAAAAATTTGGCTCAGCTTACTGGGTTTGCCCGACTTGAATGTAATCACTTCTCAATTTGCAGTGTTCAGTGACATGTGGCAGTGGCGAAATGCAGCGGTCTGTTAGATGTTACCAAGGCAGCCAGATGGTAGATTTTAGTCAGTGCGACCTATCTGAAATGCCAGAAACGATAAGGCCGTGTCAGATGGAGGAATGTGCAGTGTGGCACCAGGGAGAATGGGGACCAGTAAGTGATAATTTGGCTATTTGTGCTTCACAGTTATGCTTGAAGTTTTTCTTTTTTTAAATCTTAGGATTTTCCTCCTTATAGAATCAATTTTTTTTAACTTTCCTGAAGGATCTTTGATACTGAGAAGGAAGTTTTGCACATGCACTTCCAAAGGTCTTAAGCTGATCACCGCTCACTGTGCAGTGCTGATGTGGTCATCAGTGCTCAATTGAGGATGTTCATCAAATAACTCAAATCATCAAAATCATCAAATAAACCACAACCAACCAACAGAGAGGTCCTTCGTAGTAAACCCCCCCAAAAAAACTGAACCGGGCAGCTTGGAAATAAAATCTTGTAATCTTGTCTGGGAATGCAAAGTGTAATGGTTGTACGCGCATCCTCTCAGTTTTGAGTTTCTCTTCCCAGTGCTCAGCCACCTGCGGTCAGGCGTCCATGCAGAGACTAGTCAGCTGTATGGTTGGCGGCCAGCCAGTGGACATCACTCATTGTGACCTGAGCCTCATGCCAGAGACTACCAGGCCCTGTCAGGTCACTGAGTGCCCATTCTGGCACCAGGGGGAATGGAGTTCGGTAAGATAGTACCTTTTCAAATCAAAATATCGTTTTAGTGGGTTCTTTCAGATGAAATTAAACACGAGTCTCTTTCATGTCTTCTTTTCTTTGCTTGTGCTCAAGGGCCTAAGGAGTGACTGAGGGATTCAACAGCCATTCTGTTCAAAGATACAGTCAGTGCTCTGTTCTCTATCAGCACAGGAATTACAAATATCCTGTCTGAAATTCTTTGATATATCTTTAAAGGGATGGTAGGATTAACTCCAGCACAAGTGTGACATTCAGTAGAAAACCTATGTGGTTGCTAGTCATTCTACATTCAGTGAAGGGAGCATCTTAAATATAAATAGAGGTTGTTACCTGAGAAGTCTAAAATGCTTTGAAGTCTTGCTGAAAAGTAAATAGTTTCCTCAAGTTTGCTGAACTATATTGCGTATGAACAGAGTGTGAAATTACGGTCAGACATCGCATATTTTCCAAGCACTTATTGTTTCTGTCTGAACAAAATCAAAGATGTTAGGGCAAATTGTCTGACCAACACATCAATAACAGCTCTTAAAACATTAGCACAGTATTGTGGGATTATGGCGTCTGATTTATTATTAGTTTTGTTCTAGAATTACGAATTAGAATTAGTTAGAATTAGAATTACGTTGATTACACCCAAGGCATTCATTAGGGCCGATCGCTCATCACCGGCCCATGTCACCCAGCGCCATGCATGTATGAACACATGTGCACAGACATGAAATTACCCCATAATTCTTTACGCATAGTAAAACGTAGGTCATGCTGTCAACCAATGTTCAATTTTCCTTGGTAACCCATGCGTGACACATAACCCGGGTACCAGGCAATATGGACCAGTAATGGTTGGCTGCATTCATGCGGTTCCTCCAGTTCAACCCGAGTGTGGTGCTCGCGCATTATATTTCTGTATGTGCAACGGGAGTATACCCTCGTTGACCCGCGGGTCTTACTCCTGCTGAACACGAGTGGCTCGCTCGAACACAGCCCTTAGTCACTGCTCAAACGTGCTCCAAGTTAGACTGTTTCCCAGTGCCTCTAGTCTGAAAAAAAATACTAATGGGGTTGGGAACCCCAACTTCTACCTTTTATATAATATGGCAGATCAAAAGCCGGTAATGGCACTTGGCAGAACAAAATTGATTGTGTTATGACATTTTGTCTGCGCACACTCTGTATGAGGTTTAATGGCTTCTGAATAACATTCTCCATTCCTGTCAATTTCTTTGTTCATTGTCATAAATTGTTAGTTTGTAAAATGTTAGTTTTGTGAACGGTTTGACAGTGTTACATCCTCTTAGTGTTTCCTGTTTTTTTCTGCTCATAAAAAGAAAATTTAACTTACCTTGTATCTCATACTCAACAGTGCTCGGTTTCCTGTGGCCAAGGCAAAAAGCAGCGATTGGTTCGCTGTCTCCAAGGCAACTACATTGTTGACTCCAGCCGTTGCAACCATAGCTTGATGCCGGAGTCAGTGGCTCCCTGCAATGCGGGAGAGTGTGCTTATTGGCAAGCAAGTGGCTGGGGACCAGTGAGTATTTAATTACCTCTTGTGTTGAATTTTTTTGGAAGTCAACCATCTGCTGCTGTAACTGAAATTCAGCATTTATAAATGCAGGTCGATTGAAAATGAAGCATACTTCCTCAATCATGTGCTAATGTCCCTGAACCTTTGACCCTTTTCTTCAAGTGCTCTGTGACTTGTGGCCTGGGAGAGCAACAAAGGCGAGTGAGTTGTTACCAAGGCAACCAGAAAGTGGATGTTAGTCACTGCGTTCTCCTCCAGAAACCAGAGTCCGTATCGCCATGTCAGATGGAGGACTGTGCAGCATGGGAACATGGTGAATGGGGAGAGGTACACATAGAAATGTTCTCTTTATTAAAACCCACTCTCCTTCCTGGGAGGGTTTCCAAATCTTGACCTTGCCTCTATCTGTTCTTACAGGGAGTCACTTGGAGTCTCGCTGTGATCTGGTACTGGACAGCATCATATACTTCATAAAATTGTCCGAAAGATTTTGTATCTGGAAAGTTGCTCATATATGAAAATGTTTTTGTCAGAAGAAATCTGACGTAGGACTGTTTTATGAACTGTTGTACTTTTCATCTGGTAGTGTTCGGTCAGCTGTGGTCAAGGGATGCAACTGCGGGAAGTCAGTTGTCGCCGTGGTAGCCAAACTATCCGTGACCATGAATGTGACCAGGCCTTAGCTCCAACAACAAGCAGGCCATGTCAGATGATAGATTGTGCTGTCTGGAAACATGGAGAATGGGGACAAGTAAGAGTCACTTTCATCTTAAAATTTTCCTAGTGGCTCAGATTTGTTAAATTTGTCCCGTAGTGCAGTGATGTGTTTTGTCGTCACAAGAATAGTATTTGTTGGATGTGTTGCCCATTTTGCCAAATTCCCCCGTGTAATTTTTCTGTAATCAATCAGATTATATTTTGTTGTCCTCTCTCGGGTTTTAAGTGTTCCGGAACATGCGGTCATGGGGAGAAGCAAAGATTTGTCAGCTGTTACCAAGGCAACAGAGACGTCCCCTCAAGCCAGTGTGACCAGGCCAGCAAGCCCGATAGTGTGACATCGTGCAAGATGGCGGAATGCCCGGCATGGCACCAGGGAGAATGGGGACCAGTGAGTTATCTGTGTTAAAATTTGCTAATGTCAATGTGTTTTAAGTATAAGGGTTATGGGCAGGTTTCAATCTTTCAGGCTAGTAGAGGGAAAAACAGGCAAAGGGGTTTCAGGTGGTGTAGGGACAAACTGACAGTAAATTATTAGGTTTTGATATTGTTTCACTGTACACCTTGGCATGACTGCCTCAGCACTTGAAAACAGACTAGCTCTACATATCTAAAACTTACTGTCTTTACAACCTGTTCAGAACGTAAAAAGTTGATTTTTCTCAACACTGTGAATATCAGTGCGAATGGCCCCATTAGATTTCTGTTATTGTTGTCCATATTTATGCGACACCCCAGCGCAGGATAGTGTTCATAGTACATGTTGAAGAATGAAGCAGAAATTAAATTAGGACCACACAAAGTTGGCTGAATCTCTCTCATTATATCTGATTCCCTGTTTTCTGTCAGCAAGCATTTACAAAAAAAAGTGCCATCTTTGCTGTTAGCCAAACTTATGGATAGAACTTGTCATTTGCCCAGTATTGAAGTACTTTGAATGCTTCCTTACTGCACATTTAAAAATTCCCTCTTTACAATCTGTATTGCAAATTGATTTTTAAAAACACGTCCATTCTCATAGTGCTCAGCTGCTTGTGGTGAGGGAGAAATGCAGCGAACTGTAGCCTGTTACCAAGGCAACCATGAGGTGGACATCAGTCAGTGTGACCTGACCCTCATCCCTGCAAGCGTGACCCCATGTAAGGTCACGGACTGCGCCTACTGGCAGCATGGACAATGGGGGCCGGTAAAAATAGCAAACATTTCTTTCCTTTCCTGAAATAATGACTTTGGATTTGTTATCCCCACGTTTATTTGAAAACCAATTAAAGGCTGTACCAGTGGGTAAGCCTTCACCCTATGAATGGGGCAGTTTCTTTGGTAAGGCAAAGTTTTGAGAGCATTTTTTTGTCCCCACAACATTTTTGGTTGCCACAAAAATGGTGAAATAACGTGTGTGTCCCCACAACTACAGAACAAGTATGTGTGTCCTCGTGTGTGCTGACAGTCGAGTTAAGCTCACAAGAAACAAAGTTCAGTGATGGAAGCAAATGCAGAAATCATAAATCACAGTAGTAGTTAGGGCCTTGTCTAAATTATACGGCTGTGGCTAGTGAAAGCACTTGTATGCCTATGGGAAGACACTGGCTTGGTGGCAATAGCCATTGCCCATTGGTGTTCAGCAAAGTTAATTGGATGCGGCTTATCAACAAACTGTTACACCAGATGGGTTGCCTTCTATGGAACAGCTTTTTTTTGATGCTGTGTAAGCTTGAGGTCACGAACTTCCTGTGCTTTCATCTGACATATTCACAGCACTAGTCATATTCTGTCACTGATGGAACATTAATTATGTAACGAATCTGTTCTAGTGCTCAGTCACGTGTGGTCAAGGAGAGAAACGGAGGTCCATCAACTGTTACCGAGGCAACCAGATTGTGGAGAGCAGCCAGTGTAACCCATCTTTGAAGCCAGATACTATGACATCATGTCAGACGGTAGATTGTCCCACATGGAGAGGGGATGACTGGGGAGCGGTAAGCCAGGCTTGAATGCTGTCAAGGATTACCAGGGAAAACTCTCACCTATCAAAACCTGCACAGAATTAAGGACTTTGTGCGCAGCAACGTGTTAGGATTAGGACAGTCAAGTACCACCTCCTTCAACAAATTCTTTATTTGGGGGGGGGAAACCAGGTTATGTTATGTTGATTTCTCTCAAAAGATTATCTCAGGCCAATTTACGCCCTATGGAAGGAACTGAAGTGGAGTTATGAGACATTAGCAGGTCCTCTGAAGACTCATCTTCTGCTCACCTGAGTTAGTAAAAAACATGTAATGGATTGGGCTTTGTCTACAAGACTGTCTCTGGTAATTTTATATGTGTTTTTCTTTTAGTTTGTATAACAATTTCAAGTTGTGTCAGGATTCAGGATTTCACCATGGTTCAAAGTACAGTTCTGTACACGGGAAACTTTGGGATTTGTGGCCAAACAGAGCAGTGCAGTTTGCCTTGCTTGTTTGCTCCAATGTCACAAGCAAGCACTTTGGGAATGATTTGTCAAATCTATTCTTGATATTGAAAGAAGAAAGTGTCTTCTGTATTTTTCTGCTGCAGTGTTCAGTAACCTGCGGCCAGGGTACACGACAGCGGGCAGTAAGCTGTTACCAACGGAACCAGAAGGTCGACATTACCCTCTGTGACCTAACCATGATGCTGGATACAACAAGGCCATGCGAGATGATCGAGTGTGCTGACTGGTACCAGGGAGAGTGGGGACCAGTGAGTAAATGCCGTCATCCTCATAGGCAGATAGAATATTATTCAGGTTTTATGAAGAGTTCACTGTCAGCTAATACAGAAAATGATAAAGTGTGCCTCTAAGGAAAACATTTTTCTCTGATTTTTATCTGTTCAAATAAATATAAAAGCATCCAAATTGAATTCCGTGTCATTTGTCTTTAGAGCTCAATTATAACAAGCTAAAAAGGGTTTTTTTCTGTTCATGCCAAGATGCGAATTCTGAATGTAGGTTGTGTCATTCGGAGAAAACGAGAGGAACCCTCGCCCTGTGTTCGTAGTGGATAAACCTTTGTGCATACCAACCAATCGCATCTTGACATGAACAGAAAAAAAGCCCTTTTAAGCTTGTTATAGTTGAGCTCTGAAGACAAATGACACTGCGTTCGATTTGGATGCTTCAATATTTATTTGAACAGATAAAATCAGAGAAAACATGTTTCCTTAGAGGTGCTCTTTAGTGTGTGTTGTGGTACCATAAAGGAACATTATGCTTAATCTTGAAATGGAAATGAGAAAAAACAGGAATTACCTCTGATCAAAAGGTATACACACTTTTGCACACACCCAAACTCATTACTGGTCATTAGGATTACACAAATGTTGAAATGAAGATGTGGGGACGAAAAATGTTGGAGATAAATTATCCCCCACAGTGCAGTTCCACCTGTCCAAACAAAAGAAATTACCCCCCATTGCAGGGAGTGCCTACCCACTACCCTACACACAAGTGCAATACAACAGCAAACCTACTCTGTCTTTGTATCCCAAGTTGACATAATGTCTAAAAACTAAATCTCAATCCTAAATGACATAATCCACTCTGGCTTCAGGTTTGGCTGTTGATTTTGATGATTTTCCAGGGCATTTTGGGACAATTTGCTGGAAATTTTTGCAAGGTGTTTCCTTGCTTATTGATTTTGTTACCATTTAACTGACCAAACTCACATCTAAGATAGTCTTGCTAGTTACTGTTATGGAACATACCTTTGTATGGATAGCCTGACAATGTTGATTTTTCAGATATTTGCGATAAGTGTGTTGATGTCAGCCATGATGGTACAACGAAGCATAGCCACATAACACAGACTGTGTTCCTAAGAACATATACTAATTATGTAGTTCCACATTAAATATAAGACAGCAGCATCCAGCAATCACATGAAATCCTTATTTTCCTCTCCTCGCACCTGCAGTGTTCAGTGTCTTGCGGTAACGGCGAGATGCAGCGCAGGGTCAGCTGTTCACAGGGCGGCCGGAATGTCGACGCAGTCAACTGTGACCAGAACTCGATGCCGGAGACGGTCAGAGGGTGCCAGATGCCAGAGTGCCCAACGTGGCAGACAGGCCAGTGGGGACAGGTAAGGCCGTGTCCTTGTTACTTGGCTATGGCTTGCAGTAACTGACACTTCTATTGGAAATGGCTTCAGCCTCAAGCCAGTGACTCCCATAAGCAACAACATCTGTCATCCGTAGCCATGCAATTAACAAATAGTCTGAGAAAGGAATGTCTGTTGTCAGAAACTATTGCCTGTGTTTCCAATCAACTGAAGGCGCTTACATTTTGATGGATAACTCAGAAAGAACTCGTATGTCAATGGTTATTTTGCTGAGATGCTTGGTTTAACATTTGAGATCACATTTTAACACAAGTGTCATAAAAAGTTCATAGCGCTCTAAGTTCAGAATCCTGAAGTGAATTGTAGAGTGCCATCATTTAATCTAAATTTTGTAAATATGTTGGCCGAGGATTTAAAAATTTCTAAACACGAGGGTCAAATATTATTGAGCTGCAAAGCTAAAATGCCACCTAGCTCAGTTTCCTTCCCAAAATGAAAATCAGATGGAGTTTCTGTAAACGACTTACTCAGACAAAAGAAAATAGCCTTAAATTTCAATCCTCTTTTGCAAGTGCTCCAAAACCTGTGGCCAAGGGACGATGCAGCGCAGGGTGGACTGTTACCAAGGCAGTAGCATTGTTGGCATCACCCAGTGTGACTTGACCCTCATGCCTGCCAGCTCCAGAGAATGTGAGATAGGCCAATGCCCTGTCTGGCGCCACGGCTCATGGGGACCGGTGAGAAAAGGGACTGATTCTCCATTTAGGGTGGTTGACTAATGATAGAAATCCTGAGACAGCCTGGACATGATTGACCTACATCTGATTTCACATTGCTGGGCCTTTCAGATTTTTATGTGGCAACACACTTTTCTAGTTATCGTTTTTAATTTTTTAAACATAATTTTAACACATTCGTCAGCAGGAGTTATCTATCAATCAAAACCTTTCAAACAGATACTTTGTGAAGTTAAGGCCATAGGGGATTGTCACTTTTGGTGCAGTAATTTAGTTGGCCGTATTAATTCATTGAACTTTCCCTTATAAACTTTTGATTCTTTTTCCATAACTTGTCTTGCAGTGCTCGGTTTCCTGTGGGCTTGGTTATCAGCTGAGAGGTATCCAGTGCCGTCTTCCTAATGACACCCCTGTCTCTGATGACCAGTGCAATCCTGGTGACCAACCCCCTAACCATCAGGACTGTCGGATGCCAACTTGCCTTACCCCCACCTTGCCGACTACTAATCCACCTGATACCCGTCCGCCGATCAGACCTGTACCTCCAACGATACCCCGTACCACAGCCGCAGCGCCGGACCCTGCCATTCTCCGCAGGCCTTCAGCCCTGACACCCAGGCAGTCACCAAAACCCTCGCTTCTGCCATTGCGGCCCACATCCAGCCAGCGGTCACTCGCAGACCCCTCTTCGTCCATCACTGTCGCCCGCACACCCTCGGAACCCCGGCCTCTGCCGAAGTCATCGCCAGTTGCTACTGTGGATGTGATGAGGGAGGGACCCAGGAGTAGATACAGCAGCCAGTGGCGCACAGGAATGTGGACTGAGGTCAGTGTTGTTCATCTCACAGATGCCTATTTTGCTCTAAATGGTAGTTTTACCAGCTCCAAAGATATTTTTGTTGGTCGAAGATGGAGCACTGCTTTTGAATTGAGAAATCTACTACAATGTAGTTTTCATATTAGTCCATTATTCTTGCAGATATTACCCAGGAGTTACTAATTGTGTAACTGAAAGACTTGATGTTTAAGTGATTGGTTACTGAATAACTACACAACTGGAGCTCACTTGTAGCTGCACAGGTGTTGCAAGGGGGGCACTTGCCCTGTAAACCAAACAGCTGGATTTTAAATTGAAGACAGCTTATTTCAAATGGGAAAGCTTTGTATTTTCTGGTTTTGAAAGACTTTTTGTTGAAGTTTTGTGTGATATATCTTGCAGTGTTCCACAACTTGTGGTTATGGAACCCGTGAACGCTATGTCAGCTGTCGCGACAGATACGGTTACATCTCAGAGGAGAGGAATTGCAACACTGCCAACAGACCAGCTGCCATAGAGCAGTGCCAGATCAGACCCTGTCCGAACTGGAGGACTGGGCAGTGGAATCGGGTAAGAAGTGATAGATCGGATGTGGATTGATGTGGATGATAAATGCAAGAAAGGGGAGAAACATGCTTTATCTGAAAGGTCTTCCATAGATACAGTTATGACTGTTGTCAGTGTGTTCCTGGAGAAACCTTGGAGAGAGGTATTGATCACTAAATGAGCTCTCCTCATCCTCCGGAGTTACAGCTCTGTATGTGCCCACATAATATTTTTCGTAACTGGCAGATACGTGTATCTGGACACAAGACAGTGTATCAGTAGGCACAAGATTCAAACAGTGCCTACGGGTGAGCTGTGTACTATTCTTTAAACTCTTATTCTGACTTTAATGTAAATGTTACTTTCAATGAAACTTACGAGGGCTTTTTCTTAATCACAGGTCCAATATTTCTTCCCTCTGAAATTAGTGGACTGTTTTTGTGCACAAAACATTTGCCCGTTGGCTCCGAGTTTGGTTTGGTGAAACTCTTTGTACAGCAAGACTAACTCAAGATGGTTTTTTTTTATTTGTAGTGTTCAGTGACGTGTGGGCAGGGTATGACCTCTCGCTATGTGGCATGCGTCAACAGCGACAACTCCATCGCTAGCGATGATGACTGCAACCCCCTGGAGAAGCCCAGTGACCTGGACATCTGCAGCAGCCACGACTGTCCAGTGGACCAGCCAGTTGCCTCTGGGATGGCTGGTGAGAGGGCCGAAGCTTTGACAAGGGGAGGGTGGAGAACGGGACTGTGGAGTAAGGTGAGTGGGTGCTGAGGAAAAAAGCTTCAGATTCAAGAGCACATAAACTATTTGCTTAGCGAGACTTGGTTACTTGCCAAAATGCCATGCAAAGTGTCGTTCATGTTACTGGCTTGCACCAGATTTTTCTTACCACGTAAATTTTCTAAGCAGTATTTTCCCCTAAGCAGTATTTTCCGATGTAGTCCATTAGAATTGGGTCTGGAGCTTAAGGGTGTCCTGATAGAGCCGTGTTACCAGCTGTAATGAGGAGCAGTAGATCAAAATTAACAGGTTTATGGACAGTATGACTGAAGTCCTAAGACAAGACCATGGGAAGGTTCCAGCCTTGAAGTGGGGATTGATGGAAAACAAACGATAGAGTTTGCAGGGAAGGTGTGACTCCAGGCCTCTGGTATAGCTAGCAAGAGAGCCACAGCTCTGATTAAGTGGGTAGGCATGAAGAGATCTGAAACCTTGAGCAAGACATGTCAGTAAGATAAAGTAGTTGCCTTGTTTTCTTTCTGCCATTGCTGCTTTTTCAAGTCCCCCTCCTTTTCTGAGAAACTTGATGTATTTTCCTTCCAAATTCACTTGATTTCTCTTGTTACATTCCAGTGTTCATCGACCTGCGGCAGTGGACTGCGCCATCGAGTGGTCATCTGTCAAGATGAGTTCGGTGGTGTGGAGACGTGCACGGAAGAAAGTAGACCCCGCAATATTGAGGTTTGCAATACGAGAGTACCCTGCCCACTGTGGAGCTTTGGCGAATGGGGACAGGTAAGCATACACTGATATTCAGTGGAGGGTCTGAGGTGGAAGTGTGGAAAGCATCTCGTTTGTGCAGTTGGAAGCTTGGTTCAAAAATCAGAGTTGTAAGCAAGTCACCACAAGTGAGTGTAAATCTGTCACTTGTTAATCAAAAGGCATCTTTTCTCTGGTAAAGTCACAAACTATTCCAAAAATGTTACAGAAGCATTTGTCAGTTATTGCCCGTCCCTCGTTAACACAACATTTGTATCTTGACTTGCAATCGACCAGATTAATAAGCATGTCAGAGAAGAGCCAGTGCAAACATACTTCAGATTTGATCAGCTTGTTCTGTCAGGCCCTTGCTTTCCACGGTGCCATTGCAGGTCCAACTGGTATGTGGATTCCTCTTTGACAAATTGCTACTTCATTTGCTTGCATTGCATTGTGAGATTTTTTATATCGTTGGAACTAGAAAAAGATCAAGCCAGTTATTGTCATTATGTGTTATTTATTTTTTGAAGTAGTGGAGAAATCTGGCCATTAAGAATTTAGTTTAAAGATCTTTATCTGAGTTTAGAGTGCTTTTACTCATCTTTCTAGCTTGAAGTCAACATCACATACAGAAAAAATAGTAAAAGAAACTAGAATAGCCTTTAAAATGTTTTGACGCCCAATTTCACATTGGTACTTTGAAAGTAAAAGAAAGTTATACAACCCCCGTCTGTGCAGTATAATTCCATTTGCTGTCTAAAATGTATAAATACATACAATTTTTTTCCTTTTTTTGAAATGGAGCCACTAATTTACAAAAACATTTGCAATATGGTACTGCTTTAATTCCACACAGGATGAACTTGTAACCCTCCCCTTGGAGGCCTGAATTTCTGTAATCACAGTCCCCCACAGCGCAAGATGGGGCTCAGTAGGGTAGCATGAATATCACCAGGCCCATTAGAACCTATCCCTCTTTCCCCATCCCAACCCCCCCCCATAGTCCTCCCCCCTGAAGATACGTCCCGGTGTTAGGCATCCATCAGCGAGCCATCCAGCCTAATCTCGTTGAGCCAGGCTCTCCGTTTCTCTTAAGTCGGTGAACCAGTTCCAGTGTTGCCTGGGCTTTAACTCTTCGGCTGCAGTCACAATGCCGGTGATTTTCTTCATGTGTTTAGGGCATGATTCACATTCATGCGATGTACCAGTGTCATAGGAAATTCTCACAATGCCATGCTCAGGTGCACATAATTGTTAAGCCCTGCTTAGTATTAGTAGGAATTCTCTCCTGCCCATGATAATGAAATTTTGACATTTATACTTGTTGAAGTTCAAATCAATACTCTGTCACATGAAAAGACAGGACATTGCCTTCTGACAACCTGTTTAGAAAGATGAAAAATTACATTTATGACAAATGTTTGAACAAACTTTAGAAATGACTGTCGATGCCCCACTTTGTTTTTGAGAATCTGATTCTCTCAGGAATCCTTGCCATGGTCTTTTAAATCAAACCTTGCCCTTCAAATCCATATTTTTTTGAAACGGTATGCACTATTGGTTCCCCCCCTGTGAGAGCCGAAACCCCAGAAGGCAATGGGACAATTTGATTATCCTAGATATGACGTCTTCAGTCAGCAGGCTACTCCATACTGGCTAGGAGAGTTGAGTTAATCTGGCCGGGAGAGGCAAGCCTGGTGGCTGCTGTTATTCAATTACGGGGTCAAAAATGACATCCCTCTCCCCCTCCCTTGTTGGAATTGTTTTCCTGAAGCCTGTCTTTCCTTGTAATGCTGGATTTGGCTCATTTTTAATGCAGGTGCCCCGCTTGTTTTCATGTTTTTTGGTTGTTGGAAGTGAAACTTCAGTTTGTGTTTTTCAGGCTTGTGTTTGACGTTTGATAAATTGCTCTGGAAGTGACACTTTTGTGATTTTCAGTGAAATATGTCAGTTTGTCAGTGTATGCAACAAGGCTTAGTTTAGTATTAAAATTCTCTTGTGGCATATTTTTCTCTTCCATTGAAGGCAGTGAAAAACAGGAAAGCTTTTACATATGATGAAAACCCCAGTGTATTTTTCAGGGGAATGACCTACTTTTGCCCAGATCTGACCCTAAAGACAAATCCAGCCTTTAATGGCAGAAAAAATTATCTTTGCTTTTGTACAAATTGACTCTCAAGGAACAGTGGTTCCTTACAATAGTCATCACATGGTCACAGTGTCCACCACCATGGGGGGGAGGCACTACAAATGACCAGTTAAAGCATGAGCATGGCCACTGGATTTGTTCATAGCCTGAGGCACAGTCTTGTTACTTTTTTTGTTGGATATATCCAACTCCACATGAATATACATGGGGCTGAATGCCAAAGTGTGCTGAATCCATGAGGATTGACACAAACTCAGAATTGGACTTTGATTCTCATCCCTGTTTCTTATCCTGGATTTCACCTGCAGTGTTCAGCTACCTGCGGGGGAGGCATCCAGTCCCGCCTGGTACGCTGCCGCCTGCGTAGTGGCCGCACGCTACCTAACTCCTGCAACATCCTGACCAAGCCAGAAGACACCAGGATATGCCGTTCCAACCCCTGCCCGACCCACCACAGCTGGAGGCCCCGGCCCTGGAGTCTGGTAGGAAGACATTGACGTGTCTCTTACTTTTTTCCTATTCTTTTATCAACATTCTGCCTGTTTTGGAAAGAGATGTGAAAAAGAAAGTGATGAAAATGCCTTTCTTCAGAAACTAGCGGGGGCTTGGTTGATTGATTAGTCTGGTTACGGTCACTCTGAGCCATTGTGTGACTTATCAGTTGATTCTGTTGATTTAAAAAAAGGATTAACATCTTCAGAAAGTATTGTAGCAACAGCATTACATTCTTCATATCCCCACAGTTGTCACAGTCCATGTGGTATGGCTCATCTTTAACCTTTTCATAAATTTGACTGACATGGTTCAGAAAATTCCAGGTTTTTGCCCATATATTGAATCGGACCAGTGGCTTGATTGTCACCCTTCCAGCTTTAGAGGGCGCTATCACTAACTGGTTTACTGGCCTTCTCTTTCAATTGTACACTATTATTTTTGAACTGTAAACTATGCATGCCTGTTTTTAGTGTAAGATGTTAGTAATACCCCCTTTGAATTGTTCATGTTATGAATTGTTGAATGTAGTTCAGTCATGACTCAAAGATTGAAAGAAAGGTTAATTGAGAAATAACGTATCATCTCCACATAGGTTTCCAACTCCAATTAAACCAGGTTTATTGTCCATTAAATTCAGGTAGCCTGGCCATCAATTGGAAGTAATAACCCCAGAAAGGATTGGGTCAGGGGAAATTAAAAAAAACCTCTAGCTGTTTTCCAATTTATTGCCATCTGTGAAGCACAAAGTTTGTGATTGGTGTGGCTGGACCACAGACCTAAATTTGTGGCAGGTTGTTTATTTGTGATGGCTGGGTCAGGAGGGTTCAGATAGAGGGCCCACTGGCTACATTGAAGCCGCAGTGTACCTACAACATCATCTAGCCAGCAGTTTGTGGACAGAACTGAACCAAGGAATGACTGTTTGATTGTTAGTTAGAAATGCATATGACGTTGTGGTTTCTGTAGTTAAGAAAGGTTTCCTTTGTGGACATATTTTTTTCGATTGCAGTTCACTGCCGTTGGGTTCATATGGCCCAGTCAAGTGAAAAGAGGTGATTTGTGTTATGTCAAAGAGAGTTGCACAGTGAATGTAGAATGCTCTGGCATGAGATTGTCTAAACCCGGAACAAGTTCATAATTGCAATAAGTTTCAAACGGTTTACACTCTATTGCATCTATCTCTTACATGTTTTGCCGTCAATGAAATTAGGAGTTATTTTGAATTCACATGCATATTTTTCAGTTGATATTTATGTTTTTTATGTTTGTGTCCAGCTGTCTGTCTATATTACATCACACTGCAATGCTATATTTTTCTTGGTTAAATGGTTATTTTCCTTTGTAAGCTCTGATTTTTTATTCGGTGCTAGTATGATTTGACAGTAGTGGTTATCCTACCTCGTTAGAATTGCATAGCCATATTCATGTACACCATATTCCCATTGCTCATATTTCCAATTCCCTTTATCCAAAGTTATCGTATAGGAGACGGTTACAACCATTCTATAAACCCCTGTAGGTCATGGGAAAATGCTGTCATTGTATATGTACCCGGTAGTGTCTTCTGTCTTTTAGTGTCACTTTCTTGTCTGTGATATTGACACACTCCACCAAGTCTGCACCCATCTGGACTTGAGACTGAGCAATGTTTGTGTTATCAAGTTTTCTATTTATTGATTAATGATCCTGTATAGGCACTTGTACATTCTTCCCTGGTTTTGCATGCCTTCTGGTGTACATACATTTTTTTTTACCAATTTGCTTTTTAAGTTATCTTGTCTACAAGTATACATACATACTCAATGTTTCATCATGCACGACACTCACCTCTTGTACATAAAACTTGCAAAATCTTGGACACGTTTAAAGTAGTTTTTAATGTAGGCCTGGCATCACTAGTATTTGAAACGATGCAAACTATGAGTAATGCTTCATGTAAATAATGTAGGTCCATGTGTTAAAACGGGAAATGGTCTTACCAGAGGGGAAGTGTAACTGTTAATTGCACAATTGAGAATACTGCAATCTACAAATCCACAATTGCAGGTGATTTTGTAAAGTCTAATATTCCCTTGTGAAAAAGTGCTCTCGTAAACATATTGAGTTCAAAATGGACATCCCAATCAACCCTATTCTGGTCAGCATCTGAGGTACTGTTTGCAGATCATGCAATTTCTCTTAGTGATCTTCATCTAGAATCTTCTACGGAAGAGCCATTGATCAGTTCAACTTACCCATTTAAACCTCCCAGCTCCAGGGAAGTCCAAGAACAATGTCCCAAGTATGACATTAGGATTTTTGAAATTAGTTTCGCGTTGTCTTTTCAAGTTTCTTCTTGTTGTCTGTGTGGTTCTATGGCAGATTTCCCCTGACATGCTTATCCCGAGGCACTTGCTATCAGTATCTGCAGAACCTCTGAATTGAGGAGACTTTGTTTTCCCCTCCTTCCTCTCTTCAGGCTTGATTGCTTCTGTCTCATTCCCCTGTCCTTGTGTCTAGTTGACCTCAACACCGGAACCTCCTTTGCTATATGTACCCTTTTTTCTCCAGATGTGAACTTTTGAAGATGACCAGGTTCTTTTGTCAGTATGCACGATATGCACAAAAATCTTGGTTAGTTTCATGCACATTTACCCTTGCAACATTAACAACTTGTCATTTGCCTCTCCTTGAGAAGAGTGCTTTTGCAAGAATTCTCCTCTCTATATTTACAGGAGTTTTCATTGAACAAATTTTTATTCTCTTTGGGATGTCCGTCCGTTTTCATGTTCCTGAAGGAATTTGTTTACATCCACAAAGCAGAACAGAGCTTCAAAACTTAAAACTTGTCAAAATGATAGAAATGGTGTTCCTGCTCGATTCTGAGACTCTTTGAGATGCATCTACCAATGCTCGACAGTAACTGGCGTCTCACCTACTGGTTTGAAACCATCGGTTTCCCCTTATTTCTTTTTTCAACATTTCACTTGACTTGAATGCAGGAAGAACCTGTCTCCTCTGGTTTATCTTCAGCATCTCCCGGCTTTGGCCTGTTCTTAACGGTCAACCCAGTTGTGATTTTTTTTTTCAGGAGGAGGGGGGATTTTGATACACTGGACCACCAAATTAAATTTCCTGTTAGCTTGGCCCTCCAGAATTCCACATCCTTCTTTGGATTAAATTGTTTTTGCTCCATTTTATATATAATAAATAGTCCTGGGTTTGATTTTTTTTTTCCAGTTTGTTCTAAAGATTGATGCCTGTCATTTGAATCAAGGTGTGCTGATCAACTTGATTCTACCAAGTCATTTTTCACTTGTTTAGAAATGTTTTAAACTTTGACAATGCTCCTTACAGTCTGCTTGTGTCTTGGAATTCATTCCAAAAAAATCCTTTTAGTATCACCACATCCCTTCCTTATTTTTTGACAAGCATAATTCCTGAGGAAGAACACACGAACGAACTTACCGTAACAACTTGGCAGTGAGCCAAGTACCCTAGTTTAAAAAAATAACATTTGTTTACAGCTGTGCTTTCAGTCACAAGCTCTAAAAATATATTCTCAGCCACTGTAGAAATGATTGTACATATTCTGCAGGTCAGAAATACTTGAGGGACAAATTCTTTCCAGCAGTTGAAATGTAAACAACTGAGAAACATCAGTTGTTAGCAGGACAGAAAATTGCAGCACATGTTGACATCTGAAGTTACATTTCCCTGTACCATGCACCTCTGAGCCAGCCCACCCTTAACGACTTCTCCTGTCTCCCCTGACAAGCTGTGAACATATCTACCGTTGAGAGGCAGGCTCCAGAGTGCAATTGCAATATGATTTGTTCCTTGTCTGCATAAATGGATGGTTTTCATTTCTTCCCTGAGAGAAGCTCAACTTTTGCACTTGGAACTTGAGCCAGACTGGGTAAAGAGCAGTTTACACATTTCAACAGCCATTTCTTGTCATTTCATGAATGCAGTTAGGCAATGAACGAATTGTCTTGGTTGCTTTCAAGACAATCTTATATGCAGAGTACTTGTGAGAAATTTTGAGATGTTGTTAATAAGGAGATTGTGCAACATGAATGAGATTGGAAGAATGCAAAGGAGAAAGCAGTAGATTTGCTTATTCCCAAAAAAGTCAAAGATCTAAGTAAACAAAATGGTGTGCAAAGATCAACCCTGGAACCACTGATTTCATCAGATTTTTGATGAAATATAAAATTCGGCAAAATTTGTTTTCAACCCAATAGTCTGTGTATATACAGCTTGCACCCATACTCAAATTGTATTTTGCTCATTGTATTTAGTGCCCATGCCCAACCATGGGATAAGTGGTACATTCTTCTGACTTATATGCAACAAATACTGGACTTGCCACCCAGGAGATCTGACAAATAAACGCTTGGTGGTATTGGGTCAAGAATTGAAGGGCTTGAGGTAAAGCCTACACAAACCTCAGTGGGAGGGTCACAGTCTTTTCCGTTTTTATATCTTGAGCTGGCCATAGTTTTTGTTACAAAACTGACTAGACATGGCTGTGTCTAGTTACCAGCTGACATGATGAATGGTCCTCTTATTACTTCAGGGTTGTGAGCTTATTATACTAGCTATAAATTTACTGTGTATGGTTTAATTCAAGGTTTATGGGTTATTTTGGGGCACATGGGCATCAAGGGGGTGGGCAATGGGCATCCCCACTAAAAAAGAAAACTTGATAAGGAAAAAAAAGAAGAAAAACTAAAGAAAAGCGACAGAAGAAAAAATGTAAAAGATATAAATCACCAATTTGCTTTGAACAAATTACATGTAACCTCCTCCCACTGTTAATGGTTTATCATTTTGTAGCCGATGAGTGCTCTAACCCCCTCTAGAAAAACTGATTTGCCCGCCCTATACCTTTTCCCCCAAAACACTGGTGAGTTCACACTAGCAGCAGTATATTCAAACTATTTGGTCTACATATTGAATCATATGCAAAGCTGTGTTGTATACACACGTATAAGGAAGAGCT